TCCTATAAACACTTTCTCTTTTCATAATATGCTTAGAAATCTACATTCTCCTCAAAGGTAAGCACAAGTCTTATATACTTCACCCCTTAATGTTTTGGTTTCATGTGCCTTTTAAGTTTCCTCTTTCTCCATTTTATTGAGATATAATTGACAGACAATAAAAGATATATATATTTAAAGTGTACAGTTTATAAAGTTTAAAAAGTGTACAGTTTATAAAGGTGTGCAGTGCATCTACTTGTGATTTCTACCATTGTCAGAATCATAAATCTATCCATCATTCCTAAAAGTTTTCTAGTGTTGCTTTGTAATCCTTCCCCTTACCTACTGCTTTTGCAACCAATGATCTGATTCCTGTCACTGTAGATTAATTTGCATTTTCTAGACTTTTACACGAATCATTCAATATGCATCTTTTAAGCTGGATTATTTCACTTAGCATAATTGTCTCTCATCTATATGCCTTTTATTTCTTTTTCTTACTGTATGCACTGAGTGGGGACTCTAGTACCATGTTTAATTAGTGGTAAAACTGAATGTCTTTGCCTTGTTCTCAATGCCTTTTTCCCAACCCCAGAGGAAAAGCATTCAGTCTTTTATCCTTAAGTTGACAGATTTTTTTAGATGCCATTTATTAGGTTGAAGAAGTTCCCTTCTACTTGTGGTTTGCTAAGTTTTAATTATAAGTGTTGAGCTTTAATGCTTTTGCTGCGTCTATTGAGATGATCAATTTTTTAAAAAATTTATCATTCACTGGCGAATTACATTGATTTTCAAATACTTCATTGCTGAGATAAATGTGCATGATCATGGGATATTATTCTTTTTATATAATGTTGGATTTAATTTGCTAATATTTCGTCAAGGATTTGTCTGTTTTTGAGTGACACTGGTATGCAACCTCCTTCTCTTACAATGTCTGTGTGATTTTTCCATCAGCCCTTTTACTTTTCATGAGTTTTTTTGTTTGTTTGTTTGTTTTTGTGGTGCTGGGCCTTGCATATGCTAGACAATTGCTCTACAACTGAGCTACATTTCTAGCCCCAAGGTTTTCTTTCTTTCTTTCTTTTTTGGCAGTACTGAGGTTTGAACTCAGGGCTTTGTGCCTTGGAGGCAGGCACTCTACTGCTTTAAGCCACTGCTCTACCACCCAAGCCTTTTGCTTTTCAGAAGAGGATTTCTAGAATTCATTGTTGATGTAATGTGTATTACAGCGGTATAATAAGGGAATGACATCATAAGGAAACTTGTATTACATACAGGGAAAGTATGTATTAGGTAGGTATAATGTCTGCTTGTAGTCATTTAGTTGGTATCATGACTACTTATTACTTATACTAAGCTCCTTTAAGCTACTTTTATATACAATACAGATCTTTTTTTTTTTTTTTGAGACAGATTGTCACTATATAGCCCAGGCTGACATCACACTCACAATCCTCCTGCCTCAGCCTCCCAAGTGCTGGGCTTATAGTAGTGTTCTGCCATGCCCAGCTTTTCTTCTCTTTCCTGCTCTTTTCTCCCCATTCTACCACATTTACCAACGTTTTCTGCTATAAGCAGAAAGCTCCCCACACACACCCTGCCCCTTGTTGCTGTAGCATTTGTTCCCCTTCTATGTTGCTCATTTCTTTTATTCTGATATTCTGTTGTTCTAGTCTTCTGCCTTTTAATCTTAGGATTCATTTGTTTATTCATTATTCAATAGTTTGAGTGCCCGATACTGGGGATACAGCAGAGACCATGACAAACAAGGTCACAGGCATAGCTGCTGCCTTTAGAGAAGTCATGAGCTACAGAGGGGCCTCCCACTCCAGCTTGCCAGTTTAAAGGACCGTTAACTGGTCTACAAGTCTATGACCACCAGTTTTCTCTGACTGGGGAACCTACTTTGGGTAGAAAGGAGAACTTGAGGGGGAATTCTTCTTAAACTCAGGGGCTGGACCCCCTCAGCTCATTTCTTTTCTGCCTTGTCTTCCCTGGGCAGGTAAGGGTCTTGACTACCAGGTCAATATCCATTTGGATTTAATGTCCAATTGTAGAATTTTGCAAAACTAAACAAATTTATGTAAGTCACACAATTTCCCCCTACTTAAAGTTTGTATCTTTTAAAAAGATATCTCAGAGTTGAGGGTGTGTGGCTTAAGTGGTAGAGTACTTGCCTAGCAAGTGCAAAGCCCTGAGTTCAATCCCCAGTATCACACACACAAAGTATTCCTCAATTCATACTGGATAAGTTGATCTTTGAGTGAAATTGACTTTCTACCAGTGCTTCTCTAGGACTATTGTTTGTATAAAAATAGCATTATGGTAAACTTGGAAATGAATGCTTGAGATCAAGTAAACTTCAAGTTTTCTGATTTTTCTTTTTTTGGTGGTGGTACTGGGATTTGAACTCAGGGCCTCTCTCTTGCTAGGCCACTTGAGTTACTCCACCAGACAAGTTTTCTGACTTTTACAATACAATACAGGAGTAGCTCAGTGGGAGAGCAGTTACCTAGCACGTATGAGACCCTGAGTTTGATCCCTAGCACTCCAAGAAAAAAAGAAAATTCAGTAAGCAGTTGCTAAATAAGGCCATTGTATTTGTGATACTATTGAACCCTGACACTAGATATTTTTGCATATCTGGCATTTTTTTTGGTATTTGGACTTCAGATGCATAAAAAAATTGGATTAATCAAAATGCTTGGTTCTCTTGTAGGAAAATGGAAAAATGAGACCTGTTGTAACTATTCCAGGAATGGGAGGAGGAGGGATAAAGGAGAATGATGGAGGGGGTGAATTCATCTATGATATATTGTAAGAACTTTTGTAAATATCACAATGTGCCCCTAGTACAACAATTAAAAATAAAAGATACTGAAAAAAAAAGAATTGAAAAATCTAAAAAAAAATCCTTGGTTTGTGAATATATTCTCAACTTCTATGCACAGTTAAATAACTGACTAGAATTTGTCATAATAAGTTATTTTTAAAATTATGCATTTACAACTCTATCACTCAGAAGAAGCTAGGACAGTAGTCTTATGACCAGGCAATTCTACTTCTCATGTGTACTTGAGAAAAACTTGTTTATATACAAGAGGAGACATATACAAGATTGTTCACAAAAGCAGTTTATAATAGCAAAAACTTAGAAACTCAAATGCCTATTAATAGGAGAGAGAATGAATAAAGTGTGATATATTCCTACACTGGACTAATGCACAGCAGACAAAATCAATGAACTAGTGACACAACAACACAAATGAATCTTATCAACATATTAAGCAAAAAAGTAAGGCCCCAAAGAATAAATACATCTTAATAAAGTTAAAGCACAAATATTTTATAAATAATACATTGTAAGAATGTAGATAGATGCAAAGAAACTACATAACAAACGCAACAATGGAATCATATACACAAGTAATTTAGGATTCTAACAACCTTGGATGAGGGAAGACAGAGGGAGGGGATGGGTATGTGTGTGTGTGTGTGTGTGTGTGTGTGTGTGTATACGTGGTTTGTGTAGGTTATGGTCACGGTTACTACCTGCTTTAAAGAAAATACACATAAACCTAGACTTAGACATATGAGAAAAATTCCATTTTACAGAACATTTACTATAATTTTAGTTTTAGAACTTCCTGATAAAGCTGACTTTCATCTACGTGTATTGTAAGATAATGTTGCAATAATTTGGGATTAGATTGTATGCCAAAAACTGAATTTCATACATTTGGAGAAACAGAAATCTCAATGACTATCACTGTCCCTTTTTTAAATTTTTGGTAGTACTGTGATTTGAACTCAGGATCTTGTACTCTACCATTTGAGCCCCACTCCAAGCCTTTTGCTTTAAGTTTTTAGATAGGGTCTTGCATTTTTGTCCTGGTGGCCTTAGACTGCATTCCTACCTCTGCCTCCCACATAGCTGGGTTTACTAGCCTGTACCACCATGCCCAGCTTGTTCTACTGAGATAGGGTCTTGCTAGCTTTTTGCCAGATCTATCATACCAGTCCTCCCATCTCCACTCCATGTAGCCTTAATAGAAAAATATGAGAAAATATGAAGTTTTTTTTTTTTTTGGTGGGATTAGGGTTTGAACTCAGGGCTTTGAGTTTGTAGAGCAGCTACTCTACCACTTGTGCCGCATCTCCTGTCCATTTTGCTCTGGTTATTTTGGAGATGGGGTCTGGAGAACTATTTGTCCAGGATGGCCTTAAACCAAGATCTTCCCAATCTCAGCCTTCAAAGTAGGCATAAACCACTGGAACTTGGCTCGTTTCAGTTTCAATTCTCAAGTTTTCTCAAGTTTGAAAATTCTAGTTTTTCATGGAGTTATCCTTGATCTCTTCCGCTCTCACACTTGCCATATGCATCCTTCACATAGTAGCATGGATTTTATTGCCTTAGTATTGTTATAATCTGAATCTCCTTGTTCTCATAGATACTGTTCTAATTTAGCCTTGAAGTTTAGACTAGCAACCCAAGGGCCATCTTCAGCCTACAGACAAGTGGTTTTTTTTGGCTTGTGCAATGTTTAAATTTTTTTTAAAAAATTGCCAACATTCAAAATTTTTGAACTTGTACTTTAAAATGCAGATTGCAGCTTTGTTTGAAAAATCAGAATATCTGGCAACCCTAGGCCCATATGTCCCTTTGACAACAGTCAGTTCCAACTAAGATGAGACTTCCTTTTAGATAAGCCCTGAGAATTTTGGTCAATCTCTGTTTCTTGCAACTTGCTCACTTCACTCATTGGCATTACCTACTAGCCCCTATAATGACTTCCAGTTTTCTATTCTTTCCTCTAACATAGTACTTAGTCCATCTTCTCTCCTCATTGTCAGAATAAGTAGCAGATTGGATCAAATCACTTGATTTGCATATCCTTGATATGCTGTTTTCAGGACAAAATCCAAACTGTTTAAAGTGGCACTTGATGACTTACTTGGTCTGCATGTGCCCAAATACCAACCCCTTTCTGTTTCCCATCCCCTTTCCACCTTTGACCCAGCAGTTCTAAACCCAGCATACTTCCTTGTGTCTGCTTGTGCTGTTCTCTCATTTTCTCTTCCCTTTTTCTCTTGGTTAACTCGTATTCACCCTTAAAACCTCTGCTTTGCCGAGCGTGGTGCAACTGTAATCCCAGCTCTCGGCAGGCTGAGACAGAAGGATAGCAAGTTCGAGGCCAGCTTGGGCTATAGCGACACCCTGTCTCAAGGAACCAAAAACTGCTCTGACATCAATCTTCCAGGTAACCTTGTCCCGAAACCATTTCCTTCTGCTCTTCTTTTGTGACCCCAACTAGACCTGTGCCCTTCGGAGTCTGTGAGCTCTTTATTTAAATGCTTGAGACCTCTAAACACCACCAAGGGGGTCGTAAACCAGTACAAACTGAAGTGGAGTTAATCGAATTTGGATTAGAACAGCGTTATTCCCTAGTTTATACCTCCGACTAAGCCCGGTTCCCAGGGTGAAGCTGGGCAGGAGTCCAAGGGGAACACACCCGCACTAACTCTCTAGACTAACACAGGCTAGAGCGTCCAATCTCTGTTCTAGGCCAGGTGCAAATCCGCCACGCAGGCCGCTTAGGTCTGCGTCTACCGCGAGCGCAGCCTCGGATTGCGTAGGGCTGTGCAAGCCGGAAGCGGCACGGGCTTTGAAGGGCTTGCTGGGAGTTGTAGTTCTTGGAGCCGGAAGTGGGGGTGGCTGTGGTGGAAACCGCAGCTGAGGCAGCCAGTCATTGACGCTGACGCCGCCTGGGTGTAGTGCATTTCTCCGAGCCCACCAGCCGTGGGTTCTTCCTCTGTCCCCTGGGGAATCCGGGCGCCCAGAAGGGTGAAGCGGCCGGGTCGCCTCTCCGCAGCAAGGAGGCCGCCTCGCAGTCCCGGATGCGACCCGAGGGCGCGGGAATGGATTTTGGCGGCTCCGAGGAGCGCCTGCCAGAGGAGAGCAGGTGGGCTGGGAGGGGGCTGTGGAGTCAGGGCTGTTAAATGCTCCGAAGCACGCGGAGGCTTGGCAGGACCGGGAGAAGTGCGGGGTGCGGCAGACCGGAGGGGGACTGCTGCGATGGACTTGTTTGGGAAGAATTTCAGAGAGGAGGGACTGGCAGGGCGTGGATAGGACGAGGAGACCGGCTGAGGGAGAGTGAGAGAGGATGGATAGGATTTGTTGAAGGCTGGAGAGCAGACGAGGGTGAAGCTCGCTCGGATCCAGGACTGCTGCAGAGGAGGTGGATCTCAAGAGTCTGGGAGGAAAGGACCGAGCTGCTGTAGTGACATTGTATAGGCCAGAGTCTATAGATCGGAGCAGGGGACAAGATTGGTGCCCCGACTGAAACTTGCGGTGACAGCAATCCAGGCCAGTATTTAGAGGGTGATGTAAGAATTTCTGGGAGCAAAGGTTTTAGGTTATGACTGGCCTAAAAAGATTAGGCAGGAATGAGTGTGGGGAAGAAGGCGAGGAGGGCCCGCGGATGGAAAGCAAACAATTGCAATGGCAGTGGGTGGGAGTGCCAGCTTGCTGGTGACACCAAATTATGTGCGTGACCCTTGTCAATGCTGGATCCCTGACAGAGTGGCAGGACCTCTGTCATTTCCTTTTCATCTTCAGACCTTTCACTTCTTCCCCACAATGCAAACTAAGCATGTTCACACTTATGCGGAACTATCGTCAGACAGTTCATATCTTCTAGAAATTAGGGGACTTAATAGCTACTTTGTCTAAATGATCAAATGGACTCTGTAGACGTGCTCTCATATTTGCTTCTTAGGACCGGGGTTTTGGCTCAGTGGCGGAGCACTTGCATAGCACACAGGAGGTCGTGGGTTCCATCTCCAGCACTACCACACCTACAAAAACTGATCTTAACCTTTTAAAAGACTGGAAGGGTGATGGGCTGCAGCAGGAACATGGCTAAAGGGCGCCTTGAATGGCATTTAGAAATGGTTTCAGATATAAGGATGGTCTCAGGAGCAACTGAGGTCCAAAGCCCACATGCCAAATAACGTGGGGAGAATTGTTGTGCCTGGGTTAAGTTTTCACTGTTTTTAAGCGTGACTCACTTTTATGTGCACAAGTATCCTGTGGCCTGCTGAGAAAAGCCTGGACTGAGAGGACTTTGGGGTTCTTGTCTGGGGTCTATGAGTGATGTGCACTAATTGAAACTGAACATCTTACTTCTTCTTTCCACGTTTCAGTTTCTGCTTATGTATATTTGGCTATTTCTATTTATTCTCCCTCCAGATGTCTGTGAAGTGTTTCATGTAAAGATGCCCTGTAAATTCTAAACAAGATTATTTTGATTTTCCTTAGTACTTCATAATAGAGCAGGTTGGGTCAGAAATTGCTGCATTCATTATTTAATTTATTTAACACTTATTTTCCATATGCCAGGCACTGTTTTTAAGAATTTTACAAATGTTAGCTTATTTAATTATTTTACTTGTATGAGGTGGATATTCTAGTTGTCATTTCACAGATGAGGAAACTGAGACATGGATAGGATAAGTAACTTGCCATGTTCATAGCAGTGAATCCCTTGTGGCAGTCTGACTCCTGGTCTGCACTTTTAATATGTACACTATACTACCTTTCAATATACTAATAGTGACAAAAATACAAGATGGTGTCCAATTTTATACCACTCTGTGTCTATCATTTAGACCAGTAGGACAACTCCTTTGTAGGTATCTTTTCCTGTCTATAACTCTTTTTATGCTTGCCTCTTAACCAAAGAACTTTAGTCACAACAGTTTCAGTAGTGGAGTTTTCCCCCATAAAGTCACTAAATAGGCCTACTCTCTGTTGGTGGCTGGTTAACTCAGAATGTGTTGTTTAATGAGGCTTTATGGTACTGGTAAATACATGCTCTGTGCTTGAAAATTGAGGTATTGTGGCTGGGTCACTGCAAACATAGCCTTTCTGTGGACACTACAACACCCAATTCAGAAACAGTCTTGATGAGATGGCATCATTTTTAATCACGAGGGATACAACTTTTCAATGTATTTTTCTGAAAACAGTTGATATACTGAAATCTACATAAGCTTTAAAGCCACCAAAACTTTCTCCTCTGTTCTCTATGTCAGTTAATAAATAGCATTTTCCATTCCGACAACCAGGTCAGAGCATTAGAGTGAAAGTTGCTACTTCTCTTTTCATTTCCTATATCCAAAGCTACATTTGAATGCTAGCTCCTCTGCTTGATAAGGCATTATTAGTCTTCTTGCCTAGAAGGTTATGAGAATTCAATGAAATATTAGGCATAGATTCCTTACTGAGTGCCTGGTATGTACTAATGTCCAAAGAATTGAATACTTCCATCTTCTCTCCTGTTTTCTTGAAATATATTTGGTAAGTGATCCACAGGTTACCATTTGTAATGGTAGAGCTTGTTCTTTCTCTTTCCATGGCTCCTGTACCTGAGTTTAGCACTATGGGTTCTAGGATGTTGGCCTAGCTTTTAGCGTCACCCTAGGAGTGTAGTTACATCATAGGTTTCCCCATTGTTTTTCACCTACCTGGCTATCCTATAGAAAATGCTGTAGTGCTTGTAATGCTTAGGGATGATACTTAGCTTTCCTTATTCCTTGCCTTTTTCTTTCTGATTTTTGTTAGTACTGAATTTTCTTTAAAGATTGTCTGCTGAAACGACTAAGCAGTTACGAGAATGGTCCTTCTAACATTGCTCTGTCACCCTAGATTTTTCTTGGGCTATGTTGTCCACTTTTTTTTTTTTTTTTTTTTTGGTGGTACTGGGGTTTAAACACTTGCTAGGCAGGCACTCTACCACATGAGCCATTGTCAGCCCTGTTTTGTGTTGGGGTTTTTCAAGATAGGGTCTTGAACTGTTTGCTCTGACTTGCTTTGAACTGTGATCTTCCTGATCTCTACCTCCTGAGTAGCCAGAATTACAGGTGTGAGCCACCGGCACCCAGCTGTAGTCTAGTTCTGAGCTTGGAATTCAGCTACATGCACTGCTCAGTTTTCCTATTACAGTAATCCACACATTCAGAATTTAAGTAGTAAGAAACTTTTTAGTGTCTTTGAGCTAGCTTTTAGTTGACCAAAACCTTTTCTTCCTCTATTCTCTATTTCAGTTCTTAGCATTTTCAACTCAATCAACCAAGCCAGAGCCTGAGTAAAATTTAATACTTCCCTATTCTCCATTTCCCATATCCAAGCAGTTACCAGGTTCTATGAATTCTGTTTCTGATTTTTGCCTTGAAACCTTTTTTCTCCATTTCCAAAAATAATAATTTATATTACTAAAAAAAAAACAATCGTCCTTTCAGGCATGGTCAAATCTAGGTGCTCAAAGTCCAGTATTCATTCTCGATGTGTTGGTTTCATTCTCAGGGAGGCTTCTGCAGGAAAACCCTTAGCAATTCCATGTTTGGCTGTACCAACAATAACAAAAGGGATGTAGTCCCCATTGCTTCAGCAAAAGCAAAAGCAAAAATTCTGGGGCTAACTGGCTTATGTTCCTGTTCTTGGGATCAGGATATGGAATGTGCTGCTCAGTCAGCCCTAAATTATTTACCCAATGCTGTATCCTAGGAGAGTGTGAGACCTTTGAATCCTGTGGACCACAGTAAGTGGTAGAGGGGTGGTTCCCCTGTGGAAAGTCCGAGTTCTGTTCTCAAAGTAAGGGTCATAAATTCTGGGCAGATAGAAACAATATATTCACTGCAGATTTGTATTACCTCTCCAGGGGGATTATTTTAGCAATGTCTTAACTAATCTTCCTATCTGAATTTAGTCTTCCAATTTCAGACAGCTTCCATTCTGCTATTAATTTAATTTTTCAGAAACAAAGTTATTACACTATTTTTCTAAGAAATATTCAGTAGTTTCTCATTAAAAGTAGAATATAGTCAAGACTCCTTTCACTGGTATTGTCTGTACATTAGTTCCTATGAAGCTTCTACTCACAGAACCATGACATTCAGTTACATCTCTCTCACCATTCTTCTGTACACTCCCTGTAATACCTCCCTCTTTGCCTAGAGAACTTAGTCATCCTTTAAATGACACTCATTTGGAAGGCATTCCTGACCTGTTCTTTTCCATCTCTTCACTATAGCACTTCTCACTTCATAGCATAGTTATGTAAGTGCCCGTTTTCCCCATTACATTCTGAATTTTCTGAGAGATGGAGACTCTTCTTTAACCACCACAACCCTATTGCCTAACACAGTGCTTGACATATATTTTGTGTTCAACCAATGTTTGTTCAAGGGATGAAAACATTAACAATTTTTCAGGCCTTTTGCAGTTGGGCAGGTGCCAGTAGTACTCTTACCATCAAAAGAGGCTCCTGTGTTCACTGTCTTCCTATACATTTTCATATTTATCTTTATTTCCTATTTTTCCCTTTCCTTTTTCCCTTTGGTTACACTAAGGGTTAATTGATAGTTTGCATAAAACTGATAGCAAAGTAGTACGCTCACATGATTTTTGAGCAGTCCACAGTACTAGTTCAGTTATTAGTACAAAAACACAGAAATATGCCCTTGAAGCTTTCAGGAAAACTGTAGTGTCGGAACCTTGGAGGGGGAGGGTGTATCAGCTGACTGCAGCAACCCTAAGCCTGAAGCTTTTCTCAGTAGTCTTTCTCCCCATAGCTGTTTCTTCTTCTTAGAACTTTATCGCTTCTTCTACTACATAGGTTTTTTTTTTCTCTTTTCTTCTTCTTCTTTTTTTTTTTTTTTAAATCTTTTCTTCCACAAGTTTCATCATCCAGGCTGGGTGATTATAGACTTGCTCTGTCCAACAGGATTGCCACTAACCAAATGCAGTAACAAATAATAATTTTAAAGTATTATTAAGAGGAATGGTATGTTGACAGCATAAGATGCAGGGGTTCCTATGAGAGGATGGTGAGCTAGAGATGAACCTGAGACATTCCAAATGGAAAGATCTGCAGTAATAGTAATAGAAATAACAGTGAGGTTGACATGTATAATAAAATATTATATTCAAACTGAGGAGTACTGAGAAGGAAAGTTAATATTTAGATTGGGGCCAAATGATGGAGACTATTTGAACTCCATACTAAAATGTTTGTATGTCATCTGTGGTTAGGTCTCTAGCATAAGGAATTCCCTGCTTTTTTGTAAAATCTACTCATTGTTGAAATTCAATAAATTCAGTATCATTCAAATTTAATATGATTGGTGAGGCATTTGTTAAATAAGTATGAAGTTATAAAATATGACAGTAGATATTGCTTACTTCCTCATAGATATTAAGGTTCATAGATATTAAAGGAGTGGGACTGGCCTGTGGTTGCATTCTTATGGGTGCCCCAGAGCTAAAAGAGTGTATAATAGAGTCAAATATGTTTTTCTATGAGCATATTATTTATTTAAAAAGCAGCTCATCTATTTAACTACATAGTATATGTTATATACTGTATAATCAAAAAACAGAAATATGCAGCCAGATATGAAGAAACATTAAACACAACTTAAATGTGGGAGTATGCTACCTCAGTGTTACCGGTAATTATTTCTCTTAATTATGTTTTTCTTACCATGAGGAGGAACCCATTCTTTCAGGAAGTACTTTCTGGCATTAAAAGTCCCAGGGGCCTGCCGATCAGTCTTTCAGCATAAGAAACCCTTGGTACTTGGGTATTTTAAAAAAATCCTTTATTGGTGCGTTTCAGTTTCTTGATTGCTAACTTTGTTCATATCATTGATCCTTTATTAATTGCTAGTCTCAAAGAAGGCCTAAACAGTTCTCCTCTTCTCTGCATTCCCCTCATTTCACCAAAGATAACCACTGTTAACATATTTTGCAGTATTTGTGTATCAAGATCATAAATATAATTTTATATTTTGCTTTTTATACTTGAACATGCTATGATTAGCTTTGGAAACTGTTTGATTAAAATTTTCAATTCTTTCTTCATATGGATATCATACCTTTCTCCCCCCCACTTCAGGAATCAAATCATTACATGATTTGGTATGATCTGACCTTTAACTGTGATGTCAGGTAATGACACCATAACCAGTGCCAATGATAAATGGCACCTTGTAAAAGGAATATGCCAATGAGATAAAGGTGTTTCTTTTTGTGACTGAAAATAACATTTGGGGATTGATGATATGCTGGAATATATTTCTTACATTGAATCTCATTTTGCAATTATGTAGTATTTTCATTTATTTATGACATATTTCACTTATTTTAGTTATTTATATTTTAGGTATATATATATATATATATATATAGTACATCATATATATATATATATATATATATATATATGCAATGTACTATTTAAAAAATAACATTTGTTAACTTTTTAATTTTAATCTTAAATGTCACTTTTTGTGATTTGGCAAATTTAATATTGAGTTGGCATTTAGGAAAACTATTTTTCCCCAGATATCCTCAGTCACTTAAGCAGTTCCTATTCCTTTTAAAAGGAGGAATGTGGTCAAAATCCTCCCAGGAGAAAATAGATAGGACTTTTGTCTGAGACTGGCTTTACTGTGACTTGATGAAAAGGATACAGATGGAGATGAGTTACGCTGTCCTTTGCTGCTCAGGTCTAGTTCCTCCTTGGTAGAGAGTGAGATGCTTGGGAAGGTGATTAATGGTAAGTATTCTGTGTACTTGGAAAAGAGACTGTACCAAGAGCTGCTCTCTGCCTCATAAGCTTAAAGGCCTTGGTGTGGGTCCAAGTAAAGATTACATATGAATACAGGGTGATACTATCCAAATAATTATTACCAGACAGGTTTAAGCTAGAAAAAGCTGAACTTACCTACCAAAAGTGTGTTTAAGGAAAAGATATTTGATTTCTTGATAGTGATTTGTTTACTTGCATCTAAGATTCAGGCATGAATGGATTAATCCAATCACTGTGTATGGGCTTCAATTTAATTAAGTGTTTCATGTCTCTGAAAATGCCAATTATATCATCAGGGTCAAGGATCCTAAAAAGGCGAAGACACTAACAGACTGGTTATGTAAATCAGTTTTTTTAAAGTTTGCTTTTCTTCTACATGAGTATATATGATATATTGTAGAATAAGAGCATTTTTTTGTTACTTTGGCATCTCAGAGACACTTTATTGTGGGAAAGGAAGGTCTTTAGTTTCATTCACAGGAAGTTATTAGTAGATCTTAAGGCTGAAAGTGTCTAGGATTTCAGTGCTTTCTGTATAATTTTAGAAGCAAAAGCCCTAGGATGATAGACATTTTATGTCTCCTTTTAGAATTTATCATGATGTTCATTAATAGTTAATGTTGTGAGATTAATACAGAATGAGTCAGAACACATAGATAGGCAGTCACCTGTTGAGCCAGACTGGTTGTCAGGCCTGTAAGACTTGATTGTAGCCTATTGGAATGTGACAGCTGTGTCAGTCAGAATAGACCAGATGAAGCATAGGAGATGCAAAAGTTGACAGTCAGTTGGCTTCTGGGTTGGCAGTTTCTTGCCATATAACAAAAAACGGCATTGTAGTGACCACCTTAGTCCCATGAACATTTTAGTTATCCTCAAATATTTATCAGAAGTAGTACAGAAATAGAATAAGAAAAGTCTGGTGACTCAAATATTTAATGACATACAACTAAGAAAACTTGATGTCTCCCAATTCAAATAAATTCTTGTTCACAAGGCCTTCAGAGCAAGCCAGAGTGAGATCCACGTGGCCTTCCTTCTTTAGATGATAAACTTGTTCCATATCTATCATTAATTTTACTTGTAGATTTTATTCACCTGTCTTTACTCTTTCTCTTTCCTAAAATAGCTCAGAAAACATACAAAAGACATTTGTTTTAGTGTTGCTAGAAAGAATTCTAATTCTAGACGCCCCCCCCCCACCCCGCCCCATAGCTATTTACATGCTCTAAAATAGTTATGGTAAAAATTCCTTAAAGAAGTCATTGCTATTTATATGACCTTGAAAAGAGGAAAGAGGGAAAGAGTAGTATTCTAATAAGAAATGAAAGACCCTCTTCCCCATACAACTAAGATATGCTAATAATTTATTTTTTAAAAAAAGCAATGAAAGGAAGATGGCTAGGGGCATGGCTCAAGTGCTAGAGTGCCTGCCTAGCAAGCCCAAGGCCCTGAGCTCAAACCTGAAATAAAATTAAAAAGATAGAGTGTGCACCATAACAATTGGGGGCCCAAGAGACAGAGTTTGACTCTTCATCTTATTGTTTCCTTGTTCAGCTCTTTCCTTCAATTGCAGTTTTAAGTTTTTATTGGGTAGAAAGCTGTGTTGAGAAAATGCTAGGGGTTTTAGATGAATCTTTAAGATCATCTAGGGCAGCAATTTTCAAACTTATGCCAAGTAGTCTAGGAAAATGAGCTGGTAGCTGACTGACTTGGGGACATGAGCCAAAGTGACTCAGTGCAAACTTAAAACATTTTTGTTACAACTTTAGCTTAAAAATCATTTGTATTTATTATCCATAATATTTGTGTGTGAGCATGTATATGAAGCACTTCTGTACTTCACTATGTTGTCCTTAGTCCTTGGAAATATAATGAACAAAAAGTAGCTTTTTGGCTTTTTATCTGTTAAAATATTTCTGATTCTGGGTAAGTGTTCTCGTCTTTTTATCCATGTACTATCTTTGTTCAGAAATGGATCTTAATGGAAAAAAAAAGAAATGGATCTTAATGGGACACACTCCTTGAAACACAATTGTAGATTATATAGGATTGAATGACATAGATAAAACTTATTTATAAAGCATAATGTACAGTATAAATGTGAGTTTTTTATTTGTTTGGTTTTTAATTTTAATCTCCTCTACAAGTTAAATACTCTCAGAGTTGAGTTTTATACCCAAGTGAAAAATTAAAACGGGAGAATGTTAGAATGTAGAATGGGAGGCTTCTTAGCTTAGACTACCTTTGACATGATCAGGATCAGGTACAACACAGTTAACTAACCATTGATATCATTGCAGGAGGGAGCATTGGCAGTTGCTGGGTAATTTGAAGACTACTGTGGAGGGTTTGGTGTCAGCCAACTGCCCCAATGTTTGGTCCAAATATGGTGGCCTGGAACGGCTTTGCAGGGACATGCAGAGCATTCTCTATCATGGGCTCATCCATGACCAGGTATGTAGAACTCTTTTTTTTTTTTCCTAATTGACTGAATCACTTGTTGGAAATAAATAATTGCATTAAGTTGGCTAGCAGGCAGAAGACGAAGCCACCAGTCTGTGAGCTCTTGAGGGCAGGAATAGGACTTAATACATTTTTTGGTACCCAGAATACATAGTAACTGATGTACCACAGACATCAGTGGAACAAATAAATTGCTGGGTAAAATGGCAAATCCACAACAAGAGCATCGATCAAGTTGTTTCCTGTTGTTGCTATAAATGATTGGAAACGTAATGGCTTGAAACAACATAAATTTGTTAACCTAGAGTTATTAAGTCAGAATTTCGAAGAAAGTTTCCCTAGGCTCAAACCAAGGTGTCTCCAGGATTGTGCTCCTTCAGGAGGCTCTAGGGGATTCTGTTTCTCTGCTTTTTTCAATTTCTGGAGGTTCATTCCTTGCACTCTTTGGCTCTTGACCCCCATCTTCCACCTTAAAAACCAGTGGCACAGCATCTTCAAAGTTCTCCATGTTTTCATATCACTTTTCCTCCCTATGAGCTCTTCTTTCCTCCTAGAAGGACCCCTGTAATTACATTGGGCCACCTGGATAATCCAGGATAATCTCCCATTTCAGGAGCCTTAATTTGATCACATCTGCAAAGTCCATTTTGCCATAAAAGGTAACATTTACAGGTTCTAGGATTAAGATGTGGACATCTTGGGGGACCATTTTTAAGCCAACTGCAGTCAGGGAGGTTTTTTTCTGACTTTCCCCCCACCCCTTAGTTTTGGTTTAAAACCATGACCCTACACCTCAAAAAAAAAAAAAGGTAGATGAATAAAGGAAGAAAAAGAGCCAAGGGAAAAATGTATTCAGTCTCTTTCATCCAGGAAATGTTTGTACTGAATAAGAAGCTGAAACTCCATGGGCTCAGTTATACTGATGTATTTTCCTTTGTGAAATCCTTTTGCCTAGAAATAATTGTGTGATCTAGTGATAATTAATTTTTACAATTGATGAAGTTTGTGTAATTAGAATTACATCTTTCCTGATGCAAAATCATTTCTTTCCTCTGTCTTTGAATTGAATTTTTCTTTTGTTTTTACTACTTTAAATTAATAATATGATTCTTTAATAATAATACGATTAAAGAATTGTATACTTTCTTTGCAAGACTGGTGAGAATTCATCCTCAAAATACATGTGAAAACCTTAGCATGTATAGAAGTGACTAGGGAAAGTAAGAGGTGAAAGAAACAAAGATTGGCACAAGTAATTAGTAGGTAAAGATTAAGCCATTGGGATTCTCCTCTTAGAAGCATCCTAGGACACATCTGAGAAATAATTACAAAATATTGTTGTTTTTAGAATATCCTTGAGCATTACTTTAAATAGATAACTGTTTGATGTTTTTCTTTCTGGTGTTACTGGGGTTTGAAAACAGGGTCTTGCACTTGCTGGGCAGGTGTTCTCCCACTTGAGACCGTCCCTAGTCCTGTTTGATGTTTTTGAATGGACATTTTGATTATAGTTTAAATTTTTTTCAGTATAAATTTTATTGATGTTGGCTTTCTTTTTCTTCATATACTCAAACATTCTGATAAGCTTTTAATTTTGAAAATGAGTAGAATTCAATAATATTTAATGGGTTTTGCTTTATCTTTAACAGTTACTCCATTTGTAGTGTTTTAAATAATGTTTGGTTCTGGCTAACATTGTCAAGTAAGTCACAGTGGAGTTTGTTAACCTCTTTTTAAAAATCAAATTTCACAAATGCACACACAATTGTACGGTGTTAAACACTAATGTCCTGTCATGTCAGATGCGAGAATTTTTTCCAGAAACTCCTTTCGCCTGAGACAAGTTTCTCTTATTTATTTATTTATTTTTTGGCTTCGGTTAGATTTTTTTCTACTTAGAGTAGTTTCTGAAGGTGAGGCCCTCGTTTATGAGATAGAAAAAAATACCCTTTAAAGAACTTAATGGCCATTATTTTAAAAACACCTTTCCAGGAATTTGGAGGCAACATCATAGAAGAGATTGACAAAAGCCTTTGGGGTCAAACAGAACATGGATCAAAATCTGGACTCCGTGCTCAGGTCCTTGAGCAATATAATGATGTAGTAGTTAAAATTACAGAGTTTTGAGTTACACTGCTTGTATTTCTTCTTCACTTCATCATTAAGTACTGGATAAGTTATATAACCTTTTCTGCCTCTGTTTCCTCATTTGTGAAATAAGGAGATAACAGTGGTGCCCACCACATAGGATTATTTTGGCAATTATGTAATACACGAAAAGCATTAATCAGTCTTAGCTATTAGGTAATATTACTTAGCTTTTTTGAGTCATGCTCTTCTCATCTGTACAAATAAGGATAATAGTATTTATGTCATAAAATAAATCTTGATAGAAAAGCTAAATGAAGTACCATACAAATTTGCCTAGCATCACTTGTGGCACATAAGAAGTAGTTATCGAATATTCTATTTATTATTTTGATTTCCAATTGCACATATTCTTAATGGGGGGAATAATTAAGAACACTGAAATTGCAAAACAAGTAAGTTAACCCACTGAAATCTGTTATCTGCCCTTACCACTAGTGATCGTGCAGTGCTACTTAAGAAAAAATAACATTCATGTCACCTAATCCAATGAATATTTCTCCTTTGAAGATGTCTTTTGTGAAATACTGTTCATCACCATTACACCTTGACTTGTATGTCATTGTCTTCTGATGTCACAGAGGCATTGTTCTATCCCTGTACCACTCTTCCATTTCTTTCCCTGGAATTTCTTCCTCTTGGATTTTTTTAAATGGGTTTCTGCTGTCTTTCTTTGTCTTTTCTTATTCTGTAAACAGTCTCATTTACTCACTTGCATTATCTTAACTGTCACTTATGCACTGCTGACACCCAGTTCAGATATCTCTATAGAACTCTTGATCCAGAAGACTAGCTCTCTCCCTACATTATCACCTATGTATTTGTCCAACAAGATAAGCCCAGCCAACCTAAATATACTTTCTCCCATGACATTGCCCTTCCTCTTGTTATTCTTTATACTAATTTATAGCAGTGAACACTACTTCAATTTATACATTGAAGACTTAAGACTATCAGTGTCTTAAGTCAGAAATTTGGGGTTCATGTCAACATGTCTTATAAAAACTCAACGTAAGTTTCCCAGGCTGATGACCAAAATAGCTACCACATTGGTGGCACTGCCATTTAGTGGTCAAAGTACTTGTGTCTTGATAACAAATGGGATCTTTTCTTGGCCCTGTTAATAATTTTACATTGTCATCTCTACTAACCACTTAACCATATTACAAGACAGTTTCACTATCTGTACCCAAAGAGAAAAATGTGTCATGAAGAAATGGTAAACTCAGGCTGGGTGTGGTGGTTCATGCCTGTAATCCCAGCTACTTGGGAGACAGAGCTCTGGAGAGCTGCAGGAAAGCTGTAGTTGGGAGACAAGCCTGGGCAAAAAATTAGCGAAACCCCCATCACAACAAAAAAATCTGGTGTGGTGGTTTGTGCCTGTCCTCCCAGCTATATAGGAGGCATCAGGATGAAGATCATAGTCCAGGACAGCCTGGGCAAAAAGCATAAGACCCTATCTGAAAAATTACTTAAAGCAAAAAGGGCTGGAGGAGTGGCTCAAGTGGTAGAGCGCCTGCCTAGTAAGTGGGAGGCTCTGAGTTTAAACCCCTTTGCCACCACCAAAAAAAAAAAAAAAAGAACTGATAAAGTCAGAAACAGTAAAGTTAGTAAGGTTCTCAAATGAAAGATGCTCATCACATGCGAAACACAATTACCATATCTTGTTGTAGTTTTTAAAAGTGATATTTGTGAAAGCACCTGGTTATCAAAATGAAAAATATCCAAATATGCGGTCACTTACAAAACAGCAGTAGTATTACCAGTAGAAGCAGATAAAACCAGGCAACTTGGTTATACCTGCACTTAGTAAATAGAGGCGCTAGCAGAAAGAATCAAAGATAAAAGATCCTTTCATTGCTGCTTTATTTGCCTTGTAATGACTAAGGAATAAAGTCTGTGTCAAGAGCTTGGTTACCCCTTTCATTGCCTCTCTGAAGATTTAGGCTTTTAAAGGTTGCTGTGTCATTAGGAAGCTATTCTGAGTACTGTGCCTTTGGAGTGGGGAAGGGAGTAAATGATTCACATTGGTCATATCTTTTCTGTGTTCTCAAAAGGATGTGTTATAGGCTGTGAGGGCCTTGGGGAAGCTAACAACATCATGACCATATTCTTAGAGGATCTCATTTTTTTGGGTTACCTTTTAGTTCTTCATAAGGCAAGAAATATTTGATAACTTGTTCTGCTGCTCACAAATGTGGAGACAGTCCCTCAGATAGCGTAGCTAAGTAGAAGTGAAAGTTTTCCCCCTTTTACTGCCACCAAGAAGAAACTGGAAACATAGATAGCCCAGTTTTTAAAATAATGAAAAAAAAAAAAAACTCTTGTGTTTTTCCTGAATATATATGTATACAAAATTTCATTTGTTGAGAATTTGGAAAATTCCAAAAGAAAATTATATATCACCCATAATCTCAACACCAAGTAATAATAACCACTGTTTAAGATTTTGGTAGATTTTCTTATACTTTTTTTCTATGTATTTGTATGCTTTTAAAAATATTAACATTATGCTATATATATATATCACTCTCTTCATGTATATATATTTATATATTTTTTTTCTTTCTTTTTTCCAGCAGTACTAATGTTTGAGCTCAAGGCCTCATGCTTGCTAGGCAGTGGTTCTACCACTTGAGCCATGCTCCCAGCCTGGATTGCTTTAGTTAATTTTCAGATAGCATCTCGCATTTTTAGCTTGAGTCTAGTCTGGACCTTGATCCCCCTACCTACGCCTTCCATGTAGTTGAAATTATAGGTACATACCACCATACCCACTTGTTTATTGAGGTGGGATCTCACTAACTTTTTATCCAGGATGGTCTTGAACCATGATCTTCCTGATCTCCGCCTCCTTAGTAGCCATGATTACAGGCACCATCACGTCCAGCCTCTAAAAATATATTCTTGCCTGGCATGCACAAGGCCGGAGCTAGCCTGCCATACAGAAGTCACTATCATGCCAAATCCCTCCAGTGGATTTAAGGCTTGAGAGAACTTTGCACTTACCTTGTGTTTAGGTCTGCCAGTCTGTTGTCAGCAGGTTTGCATGCTTACCTTGTGGTTATGACTTTCCCTCCCCTTCCTTGCCCTCCAGGGAGCTGAAGTTGGAACTGTGAACTGTTTCCTGTTTTTCTCTGCATCACCTTTCTGCTCCTCCACATTTTTCAGCTGTCCTTTCACTTCTTTCGTGATACCTAATGTTTTTCCTTTCTTTTTCTCTTTGGAATATAATCTAGTCTCATCTTTGTTACTGTGACTCTTCTTATTCACAGAGTCACATGGAGGAAGCTTCTACTCTGTCATCTTGCCCTACCTTTTGCAGCATCATTTCTTTTTTAAACCTTTTTTTTTTTTTTTTTTGACAGCACTGGGGTTTAAACTCAGAGCCTCATGCTTTCTAGGCAAGCGCTCTACTGCTTAAGCTACTTCATCAGCCCCTGCAGCATCATCATTAATGTTATATTATTACATGTATGTATGTATCCTAATTTAATCAATGCCTTTCTAATATATGTTCAAGCTGTTTACCTATTTTTATCTCTTATAAAAATGTTAAATATTCAAGGGTGGTGGAGTGACTCAAGTGGTAGAGCACCTGTCTAGGAAACATGAAGCCCTGAGCTAAAACCCCACTACCACCACATAAAAAAGATTGAATATTAACATATTTTAAAAATTTTATGTAAAGAATGTTTTTAAACTCAGGGCTTCTTGTATGTTAGGCTAGTGTTCTATCACTGAGCTATATCTTTAGCTCTGCAGAGAAATTAAAAATTTGCTTCTCTATTGCTATTAAGATGATCATACCTTTTTTTGTCCTTCATTCTGATGTAATAAATGATGCTTATTGATTTGTGTATGTGGAATCATCCTTCTATTCCTGGGATAAATTCTACTTGATCATGGCATATAATCTTTTTGATATGCTGTTGGATTTGGTTAGCTAGTATTTTGTTGAGAAGTTTTACATTTATGTTCATCAGGGATATTGATGAGACTTTTTTTGTTGTGCCCTTGGCTGGCTTCATGAAATGAGTTGGAAGCATTCTCTTCTTTTTGATTCTTTGGAATAGTTTGAGAAGAATTATATATATGTGTGTATATATATATGTGTATATATATATATATTTTTTTTTTTGGCAGCACTGGATCTGAACTCAGGGCTTCACTCTTGCTAGGCGGGTGCTCTACTACTTGAGCTACACCTCCAGTCCAAAGAGTTGGTGTTTTTTAAAGTTTTGGAAAATTCAGCAGTGAAGCCATTTGCTCCTGGGCTTTCCTTGGGATACTTTTCTTACTGATTTGAAATAATGTTACTCATTTCTCTGTTCAGGTTTTTTGTGTCTTCATAGTTTTGGTAGATTGTATGTGTCCAGAAATTTGTCCATTTGTTCTAGATATTCCAATTTATTGGCATATAATTATTGTTAATGGTCCCTACCATTAACTTTTTCTTTTTTTTTTGCTGTTGGAGATTGAACCCAAGCCTGGCTCATGGGCATTCAACCATTAACCTCAATGCCTTTTTTTTTTTTTTTGAGACAGGGTCTTGCTATATATACTCCAGGCTGACCTCAATCTCTCTGTGTAGTTGTCTAGGCTGGTTTGGAACTCACCATCCTCCTGCCTCAGCCTCCTGGGTGCTGTGATGCACTCAGCATATCCAGTCTACCATTGAGTTTTTTTTGGTGGTAGTACTAGAGTTTGAACTTGGAGCTTTGCACTTGCTAGGCAGGTGCTCAACTGTTTATGCCCAGACCAGCCTAGACCATGATCCTTCTATATATGCTTCCCACAGTAACTCAAATGACAGCTGTATGCCACTGTGTGCAGCTATTGGTTGAGGTGAGGTCTTACAAACATTTTTCCAGGCTGACCTTGAACTGCAATCCTTCCAATCTCTACCTCCTGAGTAGCTAGGATTACAGGTGTGTGCCATTATGTCTACCTTAGATTAAAATAATTTTTAACAATTACTTTTTCAAAGAAGTGAACATGTATGTATATTCCCTTGATTGTGAACTTTTGCTGAGGCAAGAGAAGGTTGTGCTCTTTTCTCTTTTTTTCTCCCTCTCTTTTTTTTTTTTTTTTTTTTGAGACAGCATTTCACCCTATAGCCCAGGCTGGCCACAAACTCATGATTTTCCTGCCTTTGTCTCCAGAATGCTGGGATTACAGGCGAGAACCTTCACACCTGGCTCTTTTTTCTCTCTTTGAATACCAACAGTAAAACTACATTTGGTTCAAAGTGGTAGTAGTTTGCTCACTTTGAGTTTTCCATTGGCAGGTATGTTGCCGCCAGACAGATTACTGGCAATTTGTGAAAGACATCCGATGGCTCAGTCCCCACTCAGCCCTTCATGTTGAGAAGGTAAGAGTGGAAGAAGAGCTGGTGTCGCGGAGTGTAGCTTCAAGTCTTCATCGTTTGATGTTCTTTTGGCAGAATCTTCCACCCTAGGATAAAGTTTATCCAATTTCCTTTTAAAAAGAAAATTATCCCTGTAGGACTGACTTGAAGGGGATGGTTACATGCTGTAAAAGAAAAAAATAAGCCTTATAAAGCCATCGATCCAGGCCACTTTCTCTCCTCTGGGAAAGGAGTGGAAAAGATCTGGATATGTGCAACCAGGATAAAATGGCAAATGGCAAGAGTTTTCTTAAAGTAATAGAGGAGTGATACACTGATAACTGATTAAGAAGAAGATGCATCAGTTAAAAAGGAATATGAGGTTTCTGGAAGCCAGTATCAAATGGAGCCAAATATGTGTGTTAATAGCCTAGGTTACTTACTCTCTACTCTCCTACCTTCAGCTCAGCCTAGTACCCATGATTTCCAACTAGGGAAACTGAACTCAAGTTAAGTCAAGTCACTTGGCCAGAATTCAATAGCTGATTCCAGAACAATCACTACTAATTTTGTATTGTATTTATTTAACTTTGTGTTATGGAAAATTCATATATATCTAAAACTGTGTTAACAAAATTAACTCCATAAATCCATCATCTTTCTTCAACATTTTTCTACATATGGCCAGCCTTGTTTCAAGTATACCCCCACTGCTAGATTTATTGCTAAGATGAGGTCAAGAAAAGTAACTCATTTTAATGATCAGGAAACCAAATCACAAGTGTCATATGGCCATTTTTTATGAGAAAAATCCAGTCCCCATTATTCTTTGTCCTCCTTTTATTTTTTTCACTAAGCATCCCTCCAACTAACTAACTTTCTTTTTCTTTCTTTCTTTCTCTCTCTCTTTCTTTCCTTCATTCCTTCCTTCTTTCTTTACCATTTCTTCCTTCCTTTTTTCCTTCCTTCCTTCTTTCTTTTCCCCTTCCTTCTTTCTTTACTATTTCTTCCTTCCTTCCTTCTTTCTTTCTTTTCTCCTTCCTTCTTTCTTTACCATTTCTTCTTTCCTTCCTTCCTTCCTTCCGACAGGGTCTTGCTGTATAGCCCAGGATGGCCACAATCTTGCAATCCTCCTATCTCAGTCCCCTAAATGCCAGGATTGCTCGTGTGTGTCACCACTCCTGGCTTTCCATCTTCCTTTTCTAAAATATGTTGCTGTGGCATTTTCTCTTAGAAGCTGCTTGAAATTGCCATTCATACATTTCATTATATTGATCTTGGGCTATCAGACCTCGCTTTTAGAAACATTCAAGGTGGAGGAGGTTCCAAATACAGAATGCCATGGCTAGAGTCCAAAAGCGGTACTCAGATGGCTTCTCTTATTGGAGAATCTTTGCTAGCATTTTTCATAGTTCCTCCCCCGCCAAACACACACACAATTTTTGTCACATTCCTTTCTAGAGGCCACTTGAAATAGAGGACTCTATGAGAAAAGCCAAGAGGCCAAGTTCATGCTTTCTCTGAATATCCCAGAACAGATGCCTCTTTGAAGTTAGAACATAAAGGTCCAGATGTAGCAACTTTGTCTCTCCTGGAGTTATATGTCAGAACTTAACAGCTTAGCCCTTCACTGGGATACTAATAGAGCAGTGAAGCTATTAATCCCTTACTTCATTCTCCTCCAATATTCCTGGAATGCTATCTGTAGGAAAATACTTCTGATGCTTCTCCTTTCCTGTCTCAATATAGTTCTCAGGTCATTAGGCCTTGGTTTTGCTGTTTCTATCAGGATGTATGTTTTGACTCCTGCCTCTTTGCTTCCCAGTTCATCAACCTGCATGAGAATGGCCAAGACAACACTGATGGTGTGAGTGAACATGCTGTTGCAGAGTTGTGGCTGCAGCACAGCTTGCAGTGCCACTGCCTCTCAGCCCAGCTCCGGCCTCTGCTCGGGGATAGACAGTATATCAGAAAATTCTACACAGGTAGGTAGAGGTCATTTAGGATTGTTGGATATACTTCCTTAACATCTCACTATTCCTCTGTAGACTCCCTCGAACCCTAACACCTCATAGTTTACACTTGATGCCATAGATTCTACTCAGAAACACATATCTAGTCTTCTCTTTTACCTTACTTAAAAAACAGTCAAACTATGCTAAGGTATTCCCCTACGCTAATACACATAAACCAATAAGATTACCACCATTTATTCAGAGTTTCCTGTGTACCTGTTACTGTTATACCGTACTCTTTGTAACAGCCTCAAGAGTTGTGTATTAGTATCCCCATTTTCCAATCAGAGAAATAGAGTTCAAGGAGGTTGAGTGACTTGGCCAAATTCACCCAGAGCTAGGATTCAGTTCTGGGTCTTTCTGACTTGGAAGCTTCTTACCTTGGCCTCTTTGTTGTACTTTAACACATGACTTAGTTCCTCCTATACTTCACTGTCCCTGACTCCTCTTCTCCCCACAATGACATGATTCTGCTGAATTTTTTACCCTTATTCTCCATCTCTTTCCCTGAACTTCTCTCTCCCAGGGCTATACAGGGAGGCTAAAACTCCCCTAGGCTTTATCACTATATTAGTTTTTTTTCTTCCTAGAAACTGCTTTCCTGCTAAGTGACGCCCATGTCACAGCCATGCTCCAATGCCTGGAGGCAGTGGAACAGAACAATCCCCGCCTCCTGGCTCAGATTGATGCATCTATGGTAAAGGGGCAAGGAATTGTTCATGTCTATGCTGGGTCCTGGACCTTACCATGATATAACCCTTAGTAGCAAATGACTTCTTCACTGAGGCAGTTGTGAGTTGAATGGCTTTTTTTTGAAAAAAAATGCTTGGAAAGAAGGGGAGGTACTGTTAGAAATTATTGAAGTAAAGAGTCTAAGCTTAGGTCTGTTTACTGATGGTATATGTGTATGTTTTAAAAACTCTTGGGACCCTTGGTCTGCACCTCCTTAAATGCAATGTGATAATGAGCTGGAGAGAAGAGGAATGGCTCTAAATCAGAAATAGGGTTTATAGTGTCAGACCTGGTATGGTTTAGTGGAATATGAGACCATTTTTTTCCTTTGGTACAAAGAAAATTTTGTTGCCTGTAATTAACTTGCCCCATTATTAATACTCCAGTAAGTGCCTCAGTTAGAGTGAAGTCGGAGCCTCTACTCCTTTTAGGGTGAAGAATCCCCTGTCTCTCCTGGGTGTTTTCATTTTGATTATGGGTTACCATCTGTTGAGTTCTTTATATGCCAGACTTGGCCCTGTTCATAAAATATGCATCATCTCATTTAATCCTCACAACTCTACAAGGCAGACATTAATCTCTTTTTATAAAGAATACCACTGAAGCACATAGAAGGTAAGTCATACCCAAAGTTCATGTCAAATGATTTATAAGTGATGGGTGTGGATTAGAATCCTACTCTATCTGACTACTGACTCCACATGCGTCATCTGAAGCACCTTGTTGTGCTGCCTCCAGGAGAGAGCATCCCTACTTTGTTTACCTAGAAGGATTCCAGTATAGAAGCTGTGGTGTATAGTAGAACAAAGGTTTCAAAGTTTTGTGCTATAATAGAGGGTAGCGGCACTATAGGGTCTGACCTATAGTCCAGGTATACTGCCAAAACTAGTTTCTATCAGCATTTCTGTAGTACTCAGTGTTCCTCCTCTATCCTTGACTCTGATACATGTTTTGTTTTGTTTTAGTTTGCCAGAAAGCACGAGAGCCCATTGCTGGTGACAAAGAGCCAGAGCCTGACAGCTTTGCCCAGTTCCACATACACCCCTCCAACCAGCTATGCTCAGCATTCCTACTTTGGGTCTTCTTCTAGCCTCCACCAATCTGTACCCAACAACAGCTCAGGTATGGGAGCAGGAAGGGTTAGCCTTTATGTGTATCCCAAGGCCTGGAAAGTAGAAGACTTTGTAAGTGCTCAAAGGCTGCAAACTGAGCTTTGGTTTGGCAGAATTTGTCAAACTTCATGCATTAATAATGGACATCTTAAAAGGGTGTATAGCAGCTAGTCTAAGATGATTCAGTAGAATTATTAAAGTAACAGAGGAAAGAAATGTTATTAGATTTTCTTAGGTTTCTAATCCACATTGCAAAGAAAGGATTTAAATAATAGCTAACATTTATTGAGTGTCTACAACATGCTAGGCTCTGTTGTAATCAATTTATATTTATTATTTCATATGATCCTTTAAATAGTCCTGTAAGGTAGATATTATTGTTATTGCTCATTTTACAGATGAGGAATGCATACCAACAAACAATAAAGCCACTGTCTCAAGAGCCCATCCTCTTGACTTAGCTGCTTTAAATTAGCTAAATAATTTTTTACTTTAATTGACTTATCTTTTCTGAAGTAACATATATCCGGTATACCCAGTAGCAATAGGGAGTTGGGTCCTTAGTTATAGCGAAATCCTTTGTACTTACCACAGGACTCCAGCTCACCTTTCTATTCTTTACTCTTTGTTTTTTTTTTTTAAATATCCTAGACAGAAGATCTACTTCCTTTTCACTCTCCGGTCCTCCCCAGAAACCACAAGAAATCAGAGGACATTTCTCACCAGCAGAAGATCAAACCATCCAAGCTCCTCTGCTTTCAGACTCTGCACTAGCCCAGGATTCTCCATCAACCCCAATTGAGATGAGCTCCAGCACTCTGACAAGCCCCATAGAGGCATCCACTGTCAGCAGCCAGAATGATTCCACAAGTGATGCCAGTGAGGGGCCTGAATACCTGGCCATCGGCAACCTGGACCCCCACAGCCGGACTGGCAGCTGTCAGAGTCACAGCAGCAATGCTGAGAGTTGCAGCTCTAATTTGTTCTCCTCTAGCAGCTCTCAGAAACCAGATTCTGTTGCTTCTTCCTTAGGGGACCAAGAGGAAGGTAGGCAGAGCCAGCTATCCAGTATCCTCCGCAGGTCCAGCTTCTCAGAAGGGCAGACAGTCACTGTCACCAATGGGACAAAGAAGAGTCATATTCGCTCACACTCAGATACCAACATTGCCTCCAGAGGAGCCCCAGGTAATGATAAGCACCAGGCACTAGATAGCAAGATGGCCCCCTGAATTTAGGGTGAAAGAGAGGGTTTCTTCCTGAGGCTTTTCAAGTGGCAGAAAGAGAAGTTATATCTGTGATGATATGACATTCTGTTTTACAATGAAAGAAAAGTTTATAATGTAATATTGATATTGAAGAATTATCTCTGAGGCCCAGGGTGGTGGTGCATGCCTGTAATTCAGCACTCGGAAGGCTGAGGCAAGAGGATTGTGAGTTCAAGGCCAGCCTGGACTATATAGTGAGACCCTGTCTCAACAAAACAGAACTGAGTATATTTATGTTTGTTCCTTTATATAATGCTAAATACTAAATGCTTTCCTGAATTCTTTCACTTGCTTCTTAGCATCAAACGATAGTGTGACTCATCACAGTTTGAGTTTTAAATGTATCTTTCAGAATGAAGGAAAGTATTAAAGCGTTTTACAGATAATCTCATTAAGTTCCTCTTTCTGTGATTCCTCAGAAGTCAAAATGCAATATGAGAGAAACAGAGTGGTGTTAGGGTTTCCTAATTAGAGCTAGGGATATAGTCAATATGGGATTATGACCTAATCCAAGGAGGTAGGACTGCCTGTTCTTAGGACCTTTCTCACAGAAACACTAGCTGATAGCAAGGAGCAACGTAAACGTGGGGAAGGTGAGTCTCATTGCTTTTGCCATCTCCTGCCATCATCTCCCATGGGTTGTTGGTATCTGGCAGACTTTAGTTGGATGTCATTTATAATAAGGTCCCCATAGAGATTATAATAAGTGTAACATGGACCTTTGTGCCCAAAGCCATATTGGGTCAGGAAAGCCCCAGAAATAAAATGTAAAAGTGAAATATAAAAAATGTAATAAGACCTTTGCAATTGGAGCTACCATTGTTTTCTAATTTCTAGAAAGATGAAACTAAGGGCCTCAACTGAAGCTTCCTGAATGACAAACTTTTATATCTATTGTCCCTCAAAAATTCTTACTGGAACTTTTCAGGAGAAAAACCTCCACATCAAAGTCTATCTTCCCATGAGCTTTCTCATGTATGAAGAGTGTTCAAGTTAAATTATCACGTCCTTCTCCTGCTACAGGCCTGGCATCTGTTGTACTCCAGGTCACTGATGTTTGAGCATGTAAAACTTCCCTGCCCCCATTTTTTTCTTTTTTGCAGTATAGGGGATTGAACCAAGAGCCTTGAGCATGCTAGACAAGCACACTACCACTGAATTACATCCCCACTCCCAAACCCCTATTCCCGAATCCATTTGGAGTCCAGAAACCATGGTAACCTGCATGGGAAAAGGGAAACAGAAAACCCATGCAGAAGGGTCTGAGGGATTATGGGTCATGTGTGTAGCTTCTTGTATGAGGGCATCCCTCCTCCAGCACTGGGCTTTCCTCTCAGGAGTTACAGCAACACTTCTGCTAGGTAAAAGGACACTGTTTCCACCTTCCTCCACCCCCTTCTCTCTAATCTTGTTTGTTCTGTCTGGACTCTCCTCTGCACCTGTCTGTTTACCTACAGGAGGCCCCAGGAATATCACCATTATAGTTGAAGATCCCATTGCAGGTTTGGGAGCCGGTCCTCTACCTTTTCTTCCTTCTGCTCCTCTGTGACCACCTTGCTTAATTCAAAACTTTCTTTTCCAGTCTGGTGTCAAATCAAGTCTGGCTAGTCTGTTCCTATTGCAATTCTGGGACCTTTTGGTAAAATGACACCAATATTTCACATGATATGTGTTGTGCCCACAACATCCAAATGCCTTATCAGTCTCCCAACACCTTCTGGGAGCAGAAGCAAGACTTAACAATTTAGTTTTACTCAAAGGTGAACCTGAGGCTGCTATTTGTCTGAGGCCTCATGATGAATCCAAGGCAGAGTATTTTTTATAAGTGAATTCTTACTATGGATTACTTTATTTTCCTTGACTTAACACCAGAATGTGTTTTATCCCTTTTCTGTGGTCTTGGATATATTTGCATGTTTCTTGCCTGTCCAAGAGTCCTGTTTCCCTTTTTTTTCACCCATTTTCATTCCCCTGTGCATCCCCACACTCCTTTCTAGCCACTGTATATTTTTCTAGTGACTTGAGTTTGTTTCCTTTGTTTTCATGGTGGTGTTCAAACAGATTTCTGTTTCATTCGGGGTATGAATGAAGATATTAACATTACAGGCATGAGTCTGCAAGACAGAATGCTGAAGTAGGACTGAAAACCATGGCCTCTGGGGTATGGGTAAAGCAACTGGGTATGTTAGCTTGGAAAACAGAAGGTTAAAGAGGAATAAAGTCTTAAGAGGATGAGGAATTGTAAGAAAGCAGATTTTAAGTGAGTGTGAGGAAATGGTTAAGAATTAGTTAAGTGGGCGCCATTAGAAGTAATGAACTCAGTAAACAAAGGCTGAATGGCCACAGGTTGTAGTAAAGAAGTAAGTGGTGTTTGTATTGTGTACTGAGTTTGCTTGGAGATCTTCAAAGTCTCTTTGAGAGACATGTTTTCTTACCAAGCCATCGTCCTTAGTTCAGTAATGAGCATAGTCCACTGCCAGGGCCACCAGAAGTCTTGGAAGCTCAAGGAAAACACAAAAATCATCACTTTCCATATAGTAGCTCTTTTTTTTTTTTCTTTTTGCAAGAGAAGCAGCTGACAAGTTGGCACCAATTGTCAGGGAAATGGGTTGGAAGTGGCTCAATCATTTCATTTCCCCAAAGCATTCTGCTCTTTTCTCAGGCAGCCTCCAGCTTTGCCTTCTTTGGCATTGGGAATTTTGTGTTTCCTTTTGAAGGATGTTAGCTTCTCATTTCTTGTGAGCCCTGCCTGCTCTCACTGTTCCTATGCTCTGGCACTTCCTGCTTTGCCATCCTTCTCTTGAATCCTCTCCTTTTCTTCTCTGAAGATTGAGCCCTTTGGTTTTAAGACCATCATTCTTGACTTCTCTAGCTTTGTCTTGATGTTGCTTTTAAGGACATTGCTGAGTTTTATTTTGATTCCTTAACGAATGTAAACCTTCTGATATTATTTTAAAATCTACTGTCAAGGTATCAGAAAATTCAATAAGCTTACCTTGTTTTATGATCTGAAGACTGTTTCTTAAATTAGTTTGTCAAGAGGTTAGAAATTGACTGATATTTCTTAACATTTGGTTATAATATGGAAGAAAAGAGAACTAAATGAATAAATCCATTTCAATTTGTTTTTCACCTTTGTCTTACCCCATTTTGGATCATGTTTTCTCTTTCCCCTTAGAATACACTTGACTTCCCATCTCCTTTCCTCTATGTGTTCTGTATTCTTGGGCTATTCACCATTGGTGTGCCACCTGTTTCCTATTTGGGAAGGCTTGGGAATAAGAAAAGTTAGATGTTGAAATTCCAGAGTTGGGAATGTATCTGCTGCTTACTTGGATGTGTGTTTTACTTCTTGTTGTGTTCACTGACACTAGAATCCTGCAATAGTAAGTCAAAGTTGAGAGGTCTCTTTCCCTACTCTGGCCAAAGCAGTGAAGTCAGCACCCCAGCTCTGTGTATGTAGTATGGTAAGTGAGCACAAGGAACTAGGGCTGAAATGGTATCTTTTCTTGGCTTTCCTCTCATGCCTACTAAATTCTGAGCTTTGGGGCCATCTGAGCAGTGTGAAAAGATACACACTGTGCAGTTTCACCCACCCTTTTGTCATTTTCAGCCCCTGTGCTAGAAATCACACTTAAGTACCATTCCTCTTGGTGTTTTCTGACTTAGATTCTACTCTCTCCTATGCTCTGGTGTTACCATCAAGTGTGTCTATTGGTCCAGCTGAGATGGCTTTCTGAGTGGAGACAGGAATCTTGAAAAGAGGCCTTTGAATGTCTGGGGTTAATTATCAGAAGACAAGTTCCACATGGAAATCATTCATAGGAGGAAGCCATTTGTATCCTCTAACTTTCAACATAGGGTTTAATTTTTTTTTTCTTTTTCATGGAGTATGAGGGAGAGTATGTCATCTATAAATTAAGATAGTAAAAGGATTGTCTCTGTGGTGTCTCCATTTATTCCACCATACTCCAACAAAGTGGCTAGTGCTCTGGGAATCTAAGAGTCCAAGTTATTTCACTGGAAGGTAGACATCTTCTTTCCAGCTTTTAATTCCTCATCTGAGAGGTTTGAAAGCATAGTTAGTGGTAAAATCTTCAGTCTTCTTGAAGAAGCAAGGTTGTTACAGATTTGCATATCAAGTCAGAACTTTTAACATCCAATCCCATTTCCCCACAGAGAGTGGCCAGTACCTGTGCTCAGGAGAAGGCATGTTCCGAAGACCATCAGAAGGACAGTCCCTCATCAGCTACCTCTCTGAGCAAGACTTCGGCAGCTGTGCAGACCTGGAAAAGGTGAGGAATCAAAAGCTGATGAAGAGCTCATTCATTGGGCTGTCTGGCTTGAGGGTCTGTGGTGCCATTTATTTGAATGAGGTTTCGGTACACAGCAGTAATGTAGGTGTAGACTGCAGTAATGGTAAGGTCAGCAAGTTCTATTTGTGGAGAACTCTTCAGGGAGTGTGCATTCCTCACTGAGTTCAAAATATTAGTGATTTCATCTTAGAAGCTACTCAGGGCAGAAAAGCTTAGATTTCAGCTCATGATTATTGTTCCCTTGACCGTGGAACCTCATGTAAATACTATTTCTAGAATCAACTTCTGTATCTTATTCTAAGGCTCAGATACATAATAAATAATATCTATGGAGCACTTTCTGGCTTACAAAACACTTTTAACTCAAATCATTACATTTACCTAATATTTCATATGTAGGTATATGACTTTAGAAAAGAACCTGATTGAAATTCTTGAAGAATCTTTTCTGTCAGTTTCTCTCATTCACTAAGCAAAGAACTATATTAACCTTTGTTTCAAACTTTATTCCCAAGACTTTGTCAGCTTAGTTAGTTGCAAAGAATGAAGAGTGTGTAAGTAAAAACTGAAAAGAGTTGCAGGGTCCAGTGGACTTGTGTTTAAAACTATTAAAGATCTATTTTTTATCGTGTCCATAAACAAAACAATTTTTAAAACTATCATGAGATGAAATAGCAGCTCCCAGTAACTTCTTCAAGTTTTACCTTCTTCAGAAGTTGATTCAATTCAATTTGCCTCATTTGAAGCCTTGTCAAAATTCTCTGCAAGATCTAGACAGTCATTCACCATCATCTTCTCCAATAGCAAGTGGCTTCAGCCAGTTTCCTTAAATTCTCAGACTGTCTGCAGTATGCTGGCTTAAGATGTCTTAGTATTCCTTTTACCTGCATTGTCTCAGCATGGCCTGTCATGGGGAAAGAGATGCCTGAACTTTGTGTATTCAGGTGGATCACTGTTCTTTGGTTTATAAACATATTCACTGCTTCAGTATTAAATAGAGTTTTTACCCCTGCCCTCTTCAAGGAGAACTGAAGGTTTTTTGTATTCAGGTTTCTTTCTCTCTCTCTCTCTTTCTCTCTCTCTCTAAATCATCCTCTGTAGTTCTATGAACTGTTCCTTCTCTCTCTGAGAAGTTCTCTTCCTACAGTGTGCACTGTGCCTACAGTTTGAGAGTTTTCACCATTGTTTCTTTCACCTTGTTGGGGTGGAAATGGGGCCACACTGGGGGATTAAGGTTAGCACTCGGGAATCTTGGACCAATTGGCTGAGTTTCTCTTCTCATTTCTGTGTAGAAAGTGGAATAGGAGAGGGGACAGGCATGTTTAGGTAAGAGAGCAAAGATAATCTGGAATAGGTTTTCTGGCTATCACTGTCTTTATAGTAGATGTGTCCACTTCCACCAAGTGTCTTCATGTCTTGAAAACTCTGCTTTCCCACGTTACCATCAGGGAGGTGTTTGATTGCTAAGCAATTTCTTTGGTGCTCTCCTTCCTCCAGGAGAACGCTCATTTCAGCATCTCAGAGTCTTTGATTGCTGCCATCGAGCTAATGAAATGCAACATGATGAGCCAGTGCCTGGAAGAGGAGGAAGTAGAGGAGGAAGACAGTGATAGAGAGATTCAGGAATTGAAGCAGAAGATCCGCCTTCGGCGCCAACAGATTCGTACCAAGAACCTGCTCCCTGCGTACCAGGAAACTGAGCATGGGAGTGAGTGAGGCGTCAAGCTTCAGGACAAGATATTGCTATGTTTTTTGTTTTTTTTTTTCCCTACCAGACTAGGAATACTCATCCTAGAGCTCATCCATTTCTACATTAGAAGTAGCTTCCTTCCAACACAGGCTTCAGATGTGAGAACTAAGACCTCTGGCTCTAGATATGCTTCCCAAATAGTACTGCCTCCTATTTACATTAAAACTTCTAAGGCATAACCCAGAAAGAATAACTAGTTTCTACTTCACAGTCTCACTCCCAGCCAAGGTTCTGTTTACTTCTCTCTGTCGAAGTCATACTAGGTCCCTTTTATTGTGACATTGAAAGAAGTAGGAACCCTTTTCTGTCCTACTTACCATTATTATTTTTTAATATAACAGGCTTTCGAGTTACTTCCAGCAGCTCCCAGTTTAGTTCTCGTGATTCTGCACAGTTCTCTGACTCTGGCTCTGCTGATGAGGTTGATGAACTTGAAATCCAAGGTAAGAAGTGACACTTCATTAGAGCTTTTTTATTACTTGTTTCTTTCATTCTGGAATCAGGTTGAGAGACTTCTGGAGTTGGTCTTCATTATGGCTCATTATGGAATGTTGGCTACTGTCAGGGACAGCTTCTCTTGCTAAAAACAAAACCCCTTTAAAATTTAAGCAGAAGCATTATGGATGGGTTGACTGTTGTTGAAGTCACCCCGATGTTCCTTCCTCATTTGCATCTTTTCTTTGGGTTCTCACTCTGATTCCTCTGAGTGAGAACCCAAAGGTTCTTGCTTGTTGGGCTGACCCATGCCACATGAAGTGAGAATCATCTTTTCCTGTGGTCTCTGATACAACTGAAATTGTTTCAAAGTATTCAAAATGAGCTTTATTATAATCCTAAGAGAAAAGGATAAGGAGCATCATTGAGGGGGAAGCAAAAAGGGGGGAAAATTAAGTTTACAAAGTAGAGCTTTAATTTCTATCCTACCAGTGCTAACTTGCTTAGCAGAATCACAGGCTCCTTGTTGGAAGTGTCAGCCTTGAAAAGGGGAGGTACTCCTATCTGGGAAGGCAGTTGTGTTAAATCAGGTTAATGTCCCATTCCTGTAAATCATAGATTTCCTCAAGTTTCCATCAGTAAGACAAATGAACAAACAGTTCAAGGACAGACTCTTCCCCGTGGATGAAACCAAGAGTGATTTTGTACAGAGCTGAACTGTTTCTCTCATAATCCGTATAACATTGTAGCATGCTGATGAATAGATCTTTTACTGCATTTTAGACAACCCATTCATCTGCATATACCCTCCAGATGAAGTAGCCAGGTTTATTTCCTATTCAGAAATTCAAATTCATATTTTTCAGGCCTCCAGGAAGTCTTCCTTCTTTGTTCTCCTTAATGTATCAGATTTCTATTCATGACAATAATAGTCACTCAACACTCCTGTTTTAAGCAGGTTCTATGGCTCATATCTATAAACTTCACTGAGATCCGCTACTGAGGAGGTGCAGATTGGGAGGATTACAGTTCATGACCAGCCCAGGCAAGAAAGTTAGTGAGACTCTCCCATCTCAACAAACAAGCTGGGCATAGTGATTTATGTCTGTTATCCTAGACGTTTGCTACATGGGAGACATTAGTAGGAGGATTGTGGTCCAGGGCAAAAAATGAGAGACCCTATCTGAAAAATAGCTAGCAAATAGGGCTGGGGCCATGGCTCAAGTGGTAGTGTGCCTGTTTAGCAAGCACTAAGCCTTGAGTTCAAACACTAATACCACCAAAAAACCAAAACAAAACCAAAAACCTTTTTGGTTTTTTTCTTAGTTTGTATATGGTTTTCCAGCAACAATTCCCAAACACTACCTGTCCTCTAATTCAGTTCTGACACTAATTATGTAGAGTCAGCACAGGTCCACGAGTTAAGGACTTAGTTTCACAAGATTGTTCCCACTTCGGATGCTAGATGCAAGTGGGGTCACCCACACTCTATCTTGCTGATTACAAATTGAGAAATTTCCATGACTCCTTCCCCCAGGTTGGATAATTCTCCAGAATGATTCACAGTACTTAGGAGGACACTGTCCTTATTATTATGGTTTATTATAAAGGATACAAATAAATAGCCACATGAAGGGGTATGAAGGACAGAGTCTCGAGCACAGGAACCTCTGTCTCCATGGAGTCAGGGCGCACCACCCTCCCAGTACTGATATAGTCACCTACCAAAAGCTCCCCCAAACCTTGTTATAAGTTTTTTATTGTGGTTTTATAACATGGGCATGAATAATTAAATCATTAGCCATTGATAATTGAACTCTGTCTTCAACCCATTTCTCTACCCCCTAGAGTAAAGGGGGAGTAAAAATCTAACGCTGTAATCATGTGGTTTGTTCTTCTGCTGACTGGCCCTGACCCTAAAGCTTTTGAGAGGCCTAATAAGTGTCCCTTCAAGCTAGGCATTGTGATTCACAACTGTTACCCCCTCAATCAGAAGACTGAGACAGAGTTTGAGGGCAGCCTTGGCTAACAGCAAGACCATGTCTCCCAAAAAAAAAAAAAAAAAAGTCATTCATTAGCATATGCTCAGATATGATTGAAGGGGGCTCCTTGTGAATAATAAAACATTAAAGACAGTGCTATCATTCAGAAAAATCCAAGAGTTTGAGGCATTCTATACTAGAAGTCAGAACTTAGGAAGATACTATATTTAGCTTTATATAATGTTTTATATAACAAGATATTTATATTTTATTATATCACAATCTATGATTGACTTGATCTCCAAATTAAAAGAAAATAAAAGAGTTCCACCCTCTCTCTCAGGATCAGCAGCAGAATTTCAAGAGGATAATATTGAGATAAAATCAGAACTTGCTGTTTTGCCAGGTGTGGAGCAGTCCTCTTGACTAAATGTCATGTTCCCTGCAGCAAAGTAGGGAGCCAGTGTGGAAGGAGCCTGCCTAGTGGGAGACACAAAGTGCACTCCCTTGGAAACTGTTGCTGCAGTGTGGGCCCCAAGAGATGTTTAATCAACTAATTCCCTAGTCATTTCAAAGCAGAAATCCTTAAAGGAAAAGATCTTGGAACAGGGTTCTCATCCTCTGTCTCTGTAATTCTTGTGAGGGACTTTCTTGTGCATTCTAAGATGTTGCATATCATCTCTGGCCTCTATGCTCTAGGTGCCAGTACTACTTCACTGTTTACCCAACAGTAAAAAATATCTCCAGATATTCCAACATCACCCCTGATTGAGAACCACTCAGTTTTAGGAGGTTCTTGAGAGTAGCAATAACTATCTCCCAAGCTATTGTGAACACCTACCTGTACTTGTAAGTTCCTAAAAGCCATTTCATCTTTTGGAGCAAAGTCAGGTCCTGATCCCAAGAACATGTGGGATCCCATGAACTGTCAATCTCATCAACTTGCTTTCTGTCAGAAAACTAAAGGGACTCCTTTTATAATTATTATTATAATTATTATTACACAGATGGTAGCGAAGGATCTAACCTGACTCACATGTCAAAGAATGGACTCTCAGTGTCAATGGCCTCGATGTTCTCAGGTAGCCTATGTTGAAAGTGTGGCTGTGCTTATATATGCATGTGCGTGAACGAATGTTTGCACTGGCTTTGTATATACTTGATAATGTGATACCTGTCAAGGTTATAAGGACTATGTGGTCTGGAGAACTAATTGGAAAACACCAGACTTAGACCATAACAAGAAGTCAGTTACAATTCAGACATTCAGATAGTCTTTCGCATATGACTCCAACAGTCCTCGTCATTGAGTTTGTCCTTGTTGATCCTGCCTTACAGTGATAATTTTAGATTAAGTAGTTGTGTGACTGATGAAAGATATTGGTAGTTTGGAAAGGAATAGTCCAATAAAGAAGTTTAGTTCAAATCTTTAGCTAAGCTACTTTCATACATTCAGACAACAAAAATAGAGCAGAATGGCATGAAGCCTACTGTCTAAATCTTAGTATTTTGAATTTGCAAAGCCAACTTTCAGAGAGCTAGCTCCTCTAAGTACTTCATATACAATTAGGAGTTGCTATTATAAATTGCTTTGTCATTCAAACAAGTAGGCTTTCTGTAGGCAGGATTAACTGAAAGGAAGTAGCAGCTTTCTACTCAAAATGCTTTTAAAATACAAACAACAAAAAACTCAGAACTTGAGTTCATAATTAAACTCAGAACTTTTAGTTATGTTAATGACAGTTATTTATGACAATATTGTTAGCCATAAGCATTTGAAATAATTACATAAAATTAGATCAAGAATTAGAGAAATAAGGGTAATGTTCTTTTTTCTGTACTTCGGAACTGTTGTAATTTATTCTTCCCCTGCTTGAGAGGTAATTAATCCTAGGTCACTTTTTTTTTGAGGTTCAAGGCCAACCCAGGCAAAAAGTTAGTGAGACTCCATCTCAGCAAGCAAACCTGGGATAGTGGTATGCATCTGTAATTCTAGCTACACAGGAGGCATAGATAGGAGGATCTTAGTCTGAGTCTGGTCCAGGCCAAGACCCCATCCAAAAATAACTAAAGCAAATGAGGGTGGGGGTGTGTGTGTGGCTTAAGTGTGAGGTCTGAATTCAAATCCCTTACTGCAAAAAATAAAAAGAACTCTTAACTGTAATGGGGGAGTGAAGTAATGGAAGATTGGCTCATAAAGAGTTAAACAACTCTAGAGAATACAAGAAGGATAGCTATAGATGGTAGTCATTCTCTCCAGGGCTAGGATAGAACACCTAGGGACAGAACAGATAGAAAATAGTGCCGTACCTCAGGACTGAAGTCCAGACCTGTCTCACTGGATGGAGGCAGAGCTCTCAGATGCTGTCCATGGGGAGGTGCAATGCCGGAAGCCTTCACTGGGAAACTTCTCAGCTGCTGGGGGCAGTGCCTTGCCTCAGACCTCAAGCAAGACTGAGAAAAGTAGTTCAGGGAAGTGCCAGCCTTTGATACTTGCCTTGAAGCTCTCCCATGAGGTGCTGACAGAAGCCGATGATGAGAGGAACCACTAGTGTCACTCTATTGCAAAAGCACCCAAGGTCTACCTCCTTGGGGAAAGTCACCTGTATTGTAGCTGTCAGCCTAGGTAGGCACAGACCAGACACCACAGAAGTCCCTTCTTCTTCAGAGTCCCTCCAATGCCCTCTGGTGACAAAGCTCAACATTGTGCCAGCTGGCAGAGATGTTTATGAATCCAGCTCCATTATCACAGAGGGAGCAAAAAGAAGGGCATATTTGGGACCAAAAAGCAATAAATTGATATAAAGAGAAACTTTCAAGGTAACCAATTGCTTTTCTTTCCTCCCTTGTCATTTTTTTCTCTTTTTAACACAATAATAGTGATTCTCCATCTTAAAGTGTTTCATCTTTGAGTTAGCAATTACAGAAAATTCATTGCATTGGATCCCCAGATGTGTTGGTATCACCTTGTCTGCTAGAAGGAAAACAGGATGGAAACCAGCATCAAACTGGCCAGTAAATTCCAAAGTGACTCTTCCTATGCTTCACTTATTTTTTTTTAATTTTCCAGATTTTGCTAAGATTCTAAGCTTTAACCAGTTCTTCCCTGATCACCCCAATACCAGTGTCTGAACATGCTGCACAGTCATCTTCTTATAGCATGTCAATGTTTTTGGTGTTTGCTTGTATATTTTCTAACTTTTTCTAGTCAATAATAATGTCCTTATTCTATCTAAAACATCAGATAGATGTCTTAGAAAAATATATATTCATTTTTGTACAAAAGATTACAAAAGTTTCATAATTTCATTAAATTCCGCTTGGAAGATGAGTTTCTCAGACTTCTTTCTCAAATGCTCTTATTTGAGTACATTTAATCCATCCAGTTGAATGACTTCCTCCTTTCTCTTCACTCCTTAATTATCTTAGACCTTATTCTACTTTTATTCACATCCTCAAATAATGCTCCGCCCACATCAACTTAGTCATCTGCTTGACCTAACCAGAGAGCCAGCAGGGTGCAGTGGAGGCCCAGAGGAACCTTAGGTGAAGTGTCTTGTCCCCTTTGATGTTAGGTGCTGCTCTTCCTCTTGCTCCTTTGGTAAAATCTTTATCCCTGAAGCAGTATTGTCTTTCACACTCTTGGAGGAAGTATTCATGATTAGCTAAAAAGCCCCTGCCACACATACCTCTGACTTCTTTGTACCTCTGGTGAGAAAAAAGAACAAACATGATCAATTCTTACTTGATTATAGATTTTAAAGAAAGGAGATTTTTTTTTTCCCTCTCTCAAAGTGGAAAATAAAGACTTCCTCTCTGTGAGGATGAAGAGCTGCTAAATACTGTCATGCTTTGCTTAAATATAGGAATACATTCTGAGAAATGTGTCATTAGGTGATTTTCTGTGAATATCATCATAGAGTGTACTTACACAAGCTAAGCTACCAGTCACTAGACAGTATAATGTTATGGGGCCACTGTCAAATAAATAGTCTATCATTAACATTAATATCCTTAGTTAGCACATAATTGTAGTTTTTGTGAAAACTGGTTTCCTTAGCAATTATGAGTTATCATTATCAATTGCCTCCTCTTTCTACTGTGTAGTGGTTTTGTTTGTCTGTTTGTTTTTAATAGCCTGGTCCTAAAGTAACAAAATTGGCTAGCCCCTTATTCAAAGATACCTATCTTTAAGATTTTCTTTCATTTTTCTTCCTTTATTACTCCTAAACAAAACAAAATGTGCAAAAAATTTTTAATTGCTTTTAGTCAATTAATATTCATATAGGAAATACTTTCTAAAAACCTATTATGTACAAAGCACTCTTGAATGTTACTAGGAGAAGGCAAGGCTTACATACAATCTGAGGCAGTGTATGTGTTTCCCAAATAATCATTACAAACCAAATGGTCTGGTGTACTGTTGCCTAGACTTGTTTTTTTTTTTTTTTTCCTACTAGCACTGCATTGGGATCTGGATTTGGTGACACACATGTTCAGACAGAAAAGATGAGATAGATGAGCATCTTTTTTGTTAAATAGACTGTTAATTACCACCAAAAATTTGATCAATGTCTTGTTTTTCTGTGCTTCAAGAGCATATTAAATCTAACCAACAAATTTCACTTCTATTAAACTGATTATATGCTTTGAGTCATTAGTTTGTCACCATTATTTGAACATGTGCTTGTTTACAGGATTTTGTTAAGAATTGTAGGTCTAAAAGAAGAGTTAGAATAATTTCATTTCCTCACAAGGAGATTTTTATAATCTGGTTTAATCTGGTTGTATATATTAAAAAAAATCTTTGTACAGTGAAACATATGACGAACAATTGAACTACTCATGACCAATTACAGAGTGATGTCATGTAAGGTTAGTCCTTTGTTAAGGGGCTCAGACAATGGCAGACTAAGTTGAAGAAAAAGGGTTTTTTCAGTAGGCACCAAAGGAAATGAAGATGGGATTGATCAAAACAGTCTTCATGACTTGGTTAGGATCTGTTTGCCTTTCCAGAACATGACTTCTGTATTTCACTGCCCTCTCCCCTCATCAAAAGTATTTGGGTTCCTGGAGGCTCAGGTGTATCATTACTAGAAATCTTCTTCAAACTGGGCACTGGTGGCTCACACCTATAAACTTAGCTGTATAGGAGACTGAGATCAGGAGAATTGTGGTTCAAGGCCAGCCCTGGACAGGGAGTTCATCATTTGAACCAAAAGCTGGGCACAGTAGTGCATGCCTGTCATCCCAAACTATGGAGGAGGCTGAGAGTAGGAGGACTGCAATTCCAGACCAACCCAAGCAAGAGCGCCTGAGACCCCATCTCTCCAGAGAAGAGTTGGGTGTGGTGGTGCCTGTCACCCAGTAACAATGGGGAGCTTAAAATAGGAGGATCGTGGTCCAGGCCAGCCTGGTCAAAAACCAAGATCTTGTTTCCAAAATAACCATTTGGCTTATGCAGTAGAACACTCCCTAGGAAGTGTTGAGCCCTGAGTTCAAACCCCACTACTGCTAATAATAAGAATAATAAATAATAAAATAAAGGAAAAAGAAAAGAAATCCTCTTCAAAATTCTTTATTAGACATAGGTTTTGGGGAGTCTCTACTCCCATTACCTGCATGGGGGCTAAGAAATGTTTCTTTTTTTTTTTCCATTTCTCCCCACTTTTATCCTGTTATACTAAATTTTTTTCCTCATAAACTTAGTACTATTATTTTTGCTACAAAAAACCCCCAGACTTTGGAAAGTCTACCATAGTTTCCTATAATTGCATGTGAGAACTCTGTAGTAAAGATCATATTGATAATCTCTGAAAAGTTGTTGGTTACCAGGAAGTTGTCAAGTCATAGAGAAGTACTTTTTTCTCCTGGTGTCACCAGACAGGAATGAAATCTTTCCATGAAACTTTCTTAAGAACACAGAAAACTTCTAACACTCAAGGGTAATAGCAATAATGGTGAGAAGTTAGAAGCAAACTTCCAATTTCACAGACATTTAATGAGTAATTTCTATGTTCCAGGTTCTATATTAGATCAGTGCTAATTCTTACATTTTAAAAAGTCATCCAGAGTTCTTGTCTCTGGGAAGTTTTGCTGTGTAGGCTGGGCTGGCCTTGAACTCATGATCTTTCTGCCTCCTAAGTGCTGAGATTACAGGGATGCACAACTATGCTGGGAGAAAGATTTGAGTCATTATTTTGTGTTTGTCCCTGCTAGGGGCTGTGTCCTTGTGTGTATTAGGATGCTTCCTTTTCTCATTCACTGCTTTGCACCAAGTAAGCATTTGGTTCCTACCTGAATTTGTAGCCTCTTTGATTTTCTCAGCCTGGTTGAAACTTGAATAGAGCCAAATTACAAGTAGCATTTAGAGCTTCACTTGCCCCTTAATCCTGCATAAAATGTAGCACCTGGCTGCTGCCTTGAGTGCTTAGCTGGCAGTACCTTGTAATGGTCTCCATCGTCCTTTGCTTTCTCCCTTTCCATTTCCTGCTCCCCTTATCTCTGGTTTCCATTTAGATGCTGACATCAGAAGGAGCACAGCCTCAAATAGCAAACCCTCCATTTCCTCCCAGTCCTTGTGAGTACATTTCTTTTTTCCTTTCTAATAACCTCCGAGTTTGTGGAGAAATGTTAGCATATGGGTGGGAAAGGCCACAGATAAAGCTATCCCAATTTAGGATGAGGCAAGGTTCAAGTGATGGGGCCTGCCTGATGGTGGCAGCCCTAGGAAGAAAGAGACAGTTCATCTTTGATATGCACTAGCTCATTTGAAAAGTACAGTATCCCTTTGTAGTCTACAAAGCAATTTTACTCACTTTATTTTATAAACGGGCATTATAGTCTCCACTTGTCAGTTAAACTGGAAGGCTAGAGAAAGGACGTTACAGGACCCTTAACTAGCAGTGCTACATAATGTATGTAAGTAGGATTTGAGTCTAAGTCTTAGGACTGTAAGCATAGTATATTTTTCACTGTCCCTGTGTATCTGAAGATGAGTAAAAAGTTGAGCAGATCATGAGTGTTTCCTCAGCTAGCATGTTTCTGCATGTGGTATGGTATCCTGAGGGAACGCTCTGATCTTCCCGTCTTTCCCCTGTGCTCAGCTTCCCTTGATTCTCTCCTTTCCAGCTCCCATTGCTTCCTGCACTCCACATCTGCTGAGGCTGTGGCTATGGGGCTCCTGAAGCAGTTTGAGGGGATGCAGCTTCCAGCTGCCTCAGAGCTAGAGTGGCTAGTCCCAGAGCACGATGCCCCTCAAAAGGTAGGCTCTCCCGTGTTCTCTGCTCAGGAGGCTGTAAGCCCTTTTGATTTGTTTTGCTTTCTCACTTGACCCCAGTCTGAAATAAGCCTATGTGTTTCCCACCTTACTCATAAAAGCCATGTGTTACAAATGTGTTGAATGAGTGAGTGGATGCTTGCTTGTGTAGGTTTTTCCCTAGGAGTTGTCAAAACAGGATGTGATGGTACTTCAGTGTCCTTATTCCACATAACCACTCTGTAGACCTAGAGGTAGAACTCATTTTTTGTGGCCAACTTTGAGACACTATTCAAATATGAATTGTTAAGACTCTGTGCTCTGTAGTTGAAGCACCCCTAGGCATAACAAGGGTCCTGGGATGAGTGTAGGGACAGCATCAGCAATTGGTGACACCACCGTGAGATACTATTTGTTTGCTTCTTTGAACCCAAGGTCCTCACTTCTAGTACCCTGGTGCTGTCTAGTTTGTCTTGAGGCCAAGGTTTCTTGCAGCCCTTAGCTTGTGATATTTCTGAAGTGTCTTTCATTAACTATGCTTCTGTCATGGCCAAATGGGTCAAGCATATGTGTTTCCCATACTGTTCAGGTGAGCTCACCTGTGCTTTTTTCCTGCAGCTTCTGCCTATCCCTGACTCACTGCCCATCTCACCAGATGATGGGCAGCATGCAGACATCTATAAGCTGCGTATCCGTGTTCGTGGCAACCTGGAGTGGGCGCCACCCCGGCCCCAAATAATATTTAATGTTCATCCAGCTCCAACGTGAGTAGCCAGTAGCCATGCCTTTTGGAAAATTGGACACGTCTGCTTTGGATTGTCCTTCTCACCCTCTTGTTTCTGCTGCAGCTGTACTTCACACACAAATCTGCTGATTTTAAAGCAAATGAGCAGGATTACCTATTTTTGTTCTTTAATCTTTCCATTTTTTCCCAGATCTAACTAGAAAGAAGGCCTTTTTTCACTGTCATTCCCTTCCTCTCATTAGTTCGTGAACTCAGTGGGTTTTCCCTTTTTAAGAAGGTTGGAGACTTTTCTCTCCTAGTGTTCTTTTCTCTTTACTATTTCTCATCCCTTACTGTGTTCAGAAAATGTGGTTCATTATTGGAGAAAGTTACTGCCATGTCCCAGATCCTAACCTTGAAATCCCCAGTTTGAATTAGTTCTCCCCATAGGTTCATTTTGTCCAACTTGGAAGGGAGAGAAGGAAGGAGGAAGGAGGGAAAGAGGAAGGAGGGAGGGGGAAAGGAGGGAGAGAGAGAGGGAGGGAAGAAATGAGGATGAACTCCTTTCTCTTCCATACTTAACAAAGAGTTCTTTTTGTGTACTTATCCTTTATACCTCAGAGGCCCCATGCAGCTGCTGTCTTCAAATCCGTTTGCCAATCTTCTTTGCCTTTCCTTAGGAGGAAGATTGCTGTGGCCAAGCAGAATTACCGCTGTGCAGGATGTGGTATCCGGACTGACCCTGGTGAGTCTCTTGTAGCACTGTACTGCCCCAGAGGGCTTTGCTTTCTCCCACACTTGTCAGAACTAGTAAGAGAAGGTGACAGGGAAGAAATGGGGAAAAGGAAAGAAGGGCCTGGATCGGGAGGAAGCCTAGGCAAGAGCACTGACAATCATAGGGAAATTGTCTCTGGGAACACATTACCGGGACTGTGTACTATGTAAAACTGGGTAATTTCATCTAGGTTCTTGGAGACTAGGTCTTACCAATTCTGACAGGTTTCGTTTCCCTAGCGGCCTCCAGGATAGGACAAAGGAACCACAGGCCCCACTCTGTGGGTTTCTGTTAGCTTTAAGTTGCTCATACAGAAGTGGCTAGAGGCCACTAGCCATCTCTTCCTACCCTTTGAAGAATCAATAGAGCTGCCTCACCAGGTTGTACAGAGGAAAGTCACATCTGGCCTTTTGACTTTCTGTTTTTTCCAGATTATATCAAGCGTCTGAGGTACTGTGAGTACTTGGGCAAGTACTTCTGTCAGTGCTGCCATGAGAATGCCCAGATGGTCATTCCCAGCCGGATTCTGCGCAAGTGGGACTTCAGCAAGTACTACATCAGCAATTTCTCCAAGGACCTGCTCTTTAAGATCTGGAACGATCCTCTCTTCAATGTGCAGGACATCAACAGTGTTCTCTATAGGAAAGTTAAGCTGCTCAATCAAGTCCGGGTAAGACCCCTGAAAAAGCTACATCATAGATTCCTACCCTTCTCTGTTCATACAGATGATCACCACTTCTTGTCAGAGCTGTAGTTATCTCATCATTCATGCTCTGCCTATGTCCTTTCTTTCTTTTTCTTTTTCTTCTTCTTTTTTTTTATAGTATTGGCAGTGGTCTCATACATGCTTGTCAAGCACTCTACCACTGAGCCACATCCCCAGCCTTCTAGGAAGTTTCTTTCCCTGTTTCCCAAGTATCTGTCTAGTCAGCCTGAAACCTAGCAATGGTAGCTCTGAAATTGTAGATAGCACTTGATAGCAAAGGCAGGATTTCTTCCTTCCCTGGAAATATTACTGAGGAAAGAATAGAGTGGGGGATTTGAGTTTGCATGGTTCTCAGCTGCTGCCAGCTGTGTATGTGATTGATCAGGCCTTCCCTGTCTGGAGATCCCTTTGAAGTGAGTTGCTGAGTTAGAGGTGTTGAGGGCAGCCCAACTCTGGCTGTTGCATGCAAAGCCTCTAGGCCCCCCCAGGTTTGAAGGCACTAATTAATTAACCCTTCTCACAGTCAGTTTTCTCCTCTTCTCCACCCCTTTCCCCATGTCTTTCTCTTCAGCTACTGCGGGTCCAGTTGTATCACATGAAGAACATGTTTAAGACATGCCGACTAGCCAAAGAGTAAGTCTTGTGTGGAGGCCAGAGTCCTATGGCCAAGTTAATGTCTCTGACAAGGCCATATCCCAACAGTTGGCTCTTGTGTTATGTGAAAAAGGATAGTAGGGGGATTTGCAGAAATGTCCAAAAAGAGTAAATAAGAAGCCATGGCAGTAACTGTGTCTCTGTCTTCTCTGCAGGGGGGATATCTGTGATTTTTTCTACTCAAGACAGTCACCATTCTTTGCAAATTGGCATGTGTCACTCTTCAGAGGGTTATACATAAATCACTTCTGTCATTCAGACACCTTGTAGTGTGGGAGGGCTGAGATGGTCTGGAATGCCTGGGCTGGCTGAATTTTGTGCACCCCCTTATCTTTCCTGTTTCTGAACAGGGATTTTTCTACTATCACATGCTATTCAAAATGTTCATTCCCTCTCCATCCTCTTCCCCTCATTATCTGTAGGCTTCTGGATGCCTTTGATGCAGTCCCAGGCCATTTAACAGAGGATCTCCACCTGTACTCGCTGAATGATCTGACTGCAACCAAGAAGGGCGAGCTGGGGCCCCGGCTTGCCGAGCTTACCAGGGCAGGGGCTGCCCATGTAGAACGATGCATGGTGAGAAAGTCTCGCTCTACCCTGCATCTGAGCCATTGCTTAGGAATACAGGGTTCTTGCCATTTAGTTTTAGAAACTTGAAATGGCCAATTGACACTGAGAGAGAAACTGGAAAGGGTTGCTGTTCTCTGGGTTGGTGAATAGTGAAGTCATTCAGCTTTAAAGAACCTAAAATTAGAAGAGGAAGAACTTGAGCCAGGCACCAGTGGCTTACATCCTTTGTCTTAGTTACCTGGGAGACTGGGATCAGGAGGATCATAGTTTGAGGCCAACCCAGGCAAATAGTTTGTAAGACCTCCATCTCAACCTGTGGCTGGATATAGTAGTGTGCACCTGCCATCCCAAGGTACGCAGGAGGCTGAGAGAGAAGATCAAGGTTCCAGGCCATCCCAGGCAAAAATGTTTGCAAGACCCCATCTCAACGGAAAAAGGCTGGACATCACAGTGCACATCTGTCATCCCAGTTATTGTGGGAAGCCTAAAATAGAAGGATTGCAGTCCAGGCCAGCCCAGGCAAAAAAGTGAGACCCTATCTCCAAAATAACCAAACCAAAAAGGCTGGAGGTGTGGCACAAGCAATAGAATGTCTATGTAGTAAACACTAAAGCCCTGAATGCAAACCTCAGTACCACAAGAAAGAAAGGAAAAAAAAAAGGAGGAAGCACTGGGGAAGCTGAGGCCAGCCTGGGCTACATAGCAAGACCCTGTCTCAATAAAATCAAGTACAAAAAAAAAATGAGAGAAGGAATTGGTGCTGGCATTGCTCGTGGGTAGTTCTGGGCAAGACTGAGCAGCCTTCCGTAAAGAGTTGTCACATGTGGGAAGAGAACTCTTGATTATACTCTGGAGAGGGATTCTCATGTGGGTCTTGGCTTTATTATTGTCAATCACTGTGACCAAAAGAAATAATTTGCCCTCTCTGAAGTAAACCTCAATTTTCTTTCTTTCTTTCTTTCTTTTTTTAATGTAGCCCAGGCTGGCCTTGAACTCATGATCCTCCTATCTCGGTCTCCCAAGTACTGAGATTGTAGACATGTACCACCACACCCAGGAGCCTCAATTTTCTTGTCTCTAAAATTAAAATAATAATTATACACATTGTTCTTTTCTCTTATATTTTTGCAGATTGATAAAATAATTTATGTGACAGCATTTGTAAACTTTTAAGTCTTATACAAGTGCAAGTTATTATTGTTCATGATATACTTAGTGTGATAGAAATTTAGAAATTCCATTTTTAGATCTGCCCATCTCAGGTTCTGCTGTTTGTGTTTCTGGGGCTGTCCCAGAGTTAGAGCTCAAAATGGGGCGTGTGTAGAGGATCCTGAATAGGTGGGGGAATTAGACATGCTTCATTATAACCTGGCTTGAGGCTGGGTATTATTTTGGGGAAACATCCTTGTCTTCACATTTTATCTTATTAGTAGTGGTTCCTATTTCAAAATAAAGTCATTACCCAGACCAGAATATTGATTATAGGAGGCCCTCAGGGTAACCATTCTTCCCTCCATTTCTTCTCTGCATTGAGAGCCACTGTAGTGGTAGAAGCTTCTCAAGCCTGGGTTTATCTGACATTACCTAGCTCCGGCCCAGGTTTGGCTCTCTTGCTAAATCCATCTCTATTCTCTTTCCTGTAGGCAGGAGAATCCCTTGTCCCCTTCCTAGAGTCTGTCCTCCTGTGACAGACTTTGTTACCTGTCTCTTTCCTCCCCAGCTCTGCCAAGCCAAGGGCTTCATCTGTGAATTCTGTCAGAATGAGGATGACATCATCTTCCCTTTTGAGCTCCATAAGTGCCGGACCTGTGATGGTAAGGACTGGTGCTAGGAGTGGGGCAAACAAAGCTGAACACAAAGTTAATTTATTACCCATGGTCTATCCCAATTGGCAAGAGTTTGGTTTGAAGCTAGGTGCCAATGGTTCATGCCTATAATCCTAGCTACTTGGGATGCTGAGATAGCACAAAAAAAACCACAAAGAAAAAAAGATGGCAAGACCTCATCTCAACAGAAAAAAGTTGCATGTATCCCAGCAAGGGAGAAAGCATAAAATAGGAAGATCGCAATATAGGCCAACTTGGGCAAAAAACAAGACCTGATCTCAAAAGTAACCAGAGAAAGGAGGGCTATAGGCATGACTCAAGCAAGCAGGAAGTCTTGAGTTCAAACTCCAGTACTGCCAAAAGAAATGCACGTCTCTGAGGTTCACACTGGAGCACTGATCCACTGTGATTAGAAGGGGCTGTGGCAGTGACTTGCTTCCAGCCTGAGACAGTACAAATTATTTTCTTCTTTCTCACCTTTCCAACCTGAATAGAGTGTAAAGCATGCTATCATAAAGCTTGTTTCAAGTCTGGAAGTTGTCCCCGGTGTGAGCGGCTGCAGGCCCGGCGGGAATTACTGGCCAAGCAGAGCCTCGAGTCCTGCATGACAGACTATGAGGAGGAACCCACCGAAGCTTTGGCCCTAGAAGCCACCGTCCTGGAGACCACCTGAAGAAAGTGCATTCAGCCCTCTGTCAAGGGGCTAGGGTCACACATGATGCAGAACTGAGCCACCCTTTCAAGGACTTTCCTCACTTGGGGCTTTTTTCTTTTTTTAGTTATTGTCATTTTTTTTTTTAATGACTTGTCTGTTGTCCAGGTATAGTCAACCTTTGTCAGGTTGATGGGTCCAGTCTGTTGTGACAGGTATTTTCAGGCACCAGGTATTACCATCAGAACCAACACATGGGTCCTTAAGTGAGGTTTTGAGTGCCTCTGTCAGTTGATGAACAGTAAGACCTAATTCTTCTGACATCCATGGCCTTTTCTACTTAGGACGGGATCTGGTTGCCACTGCATCTCAAATATCATTTCCACTTTTGTTTTAGTTTCAGAGCTTCTGAGCCACGTCTTTCTCAACCAACTCTTTTCTCCTTTGCTGCTAAAACAGGGATGGAGTTTTCTCTCTCCCAACCTGAAATAGGGTCAGAGTTCCCTGAGGAGAAGCAGCAGAGAATGGGGCTGCATCCTGGGCATTCCACTCAGCTTATTGAGGGACTTGAGAGCCATAAGAACAGAATCATTACTGTCCTAGAATCTTTAGAGACCTCAAGGAGGTAGCCACAACTTCCCTGAGTGAAATATTCTAGGCATAGATGATAGCAGAAGCTGATTTTATGTACTCTGGTGGGTCTGAAGCAAAGAACAGGCTTAGGACAAGCCCATTTGTAGCCAGAACCACAAACATAAGTGAGGCTACAACTGTTGCTTAAGGAACATTTATTCAGTTAGAGGAGCTGTCAGCCTCTTGGGTATTCAGGTCTCTTACTTAACCTAGATCTTGGGTGAAGGTATTGTCTTTCAAGCTCAGGCAAGTCCCTGGTGCCATCCTAAGGTGAAGACAGAAACCTCACCCACCATCTTATTAGTGGGTGCCTTACTATTCTTCCTATGAGATGGCCACTGTGGTTCTGACTAAAGGTAAGGCCCAACTCCATTCTCTGTCCCCTTCCTACAACAGAGCTGGGATCTTCCCTGGTGACTGATCTCTTGCCTTAGTTTCTTTTCTCAAAGTTGGGGAAAAACCTTCCTGTTATTAGTAGTGTTAGAGAACTTGACAATTTGTGAATGTGAATATTCCTGCTTTCTTGAGAAAACAAGAGCCTTTATGCCAATTATGCACTTAACTCCTTATGTAGCCTGGTACTGTATATTCAATCATCCTTTTCATATTACTAATTTTAACATACTCTCCCATACTTTAATATGTATTTTGATGGGAAAAGTTCTTGAATGGGACCAGAGGTATGTTTGTGGTGTTCTTTAAGTCACTATAGCTCCTAATCTCTATGTAAAACACTGGTCAGGGTCACTTTTCCAAGGGCTGGCAGCTCTGTGAACTAAAGCCCACAGCATTCTCATTCTGGAATTGACTTCTTCCTGTATTACCTGTCTTCCCATAGTTGGTTGCTAGTAGAAAAAATTTGCCTTGGGTGCTGCCCCTAGAAGCCAAATAGAAAGTTGCACATGGTTGGTGGAAGCTGACAAGTACCTGAGCTGGAGGTAACAAGGAGTCTCACAAGGAAGTGAGAGAGGCATTGAGGCAATAGCCAGAGCTGAGGCTTTACCAGAGCAAGAGGGAGCATGTAGGAACTGGTTCATGGTGTTGGTTGCTCTGTGGCACACATGGGTTCTGAAGGCTACATTGAACTGGAAGACTAGGGCTATTCTCCTTTCAGTTCATGGTGAAGCTCTGAAAGCCAAGGCCTAGCACCGTTTTGAAGGGCTGACTAGACGCTCTCTTGTCCCTTTAAGACAAGGAATGACCCCACAAAACTCAAGTCTCACAAAGGCTTCAGACTTGAGTTTGTAGAAGTGGTGAGCTCTACTTCCAGTTTTGGTTTAAATTTTGAATCTTTACTCCAAATCACTATACTGGAGGAGAGACATACTCTCTGTGGTTCAAAACTGAACTCAACAATCATATTACATGCTCCTGGTTTTTTACGATTTTTCCTCACCACTCCACCCTACCCCCCATCCCTTTAGATTGCATATGTTTAAGTGCCCCGATACTAGGCTGTCATCACCATCCATATGTCCACTTATTTATTTATTTGAGAATGGGGAAGAGAGGGAAGAGGAGAGATGTTTTGAAAGCACTTTGCAACTTAGCAGTATCTAAGAACCCCCTGCTGTTGTGGGGATAAGCTTCTTAATGCACTGAAGAGTTCCTTCTAAATGACATTGGAGGGGAGAAGTGTTCTTTTCTAAATATAAAGGGAAGGAAACCTTTGCTTACAAGGTGGAGACAAGATTCAAGACACTGCAGATGAGTGGAAGGCAAACATTTTCCACTTAAATGAGGCTGTTATTGACTTTCTCTGCCAAGATTTTAAGAGTTTTTGTTGAATTAACACGAAAGGAGCAAGAGTCCAAATAGAGGTGCTCCATGTGTGTACATGTCATGTTTTGAACTGGATTTCCACTTGCTGTAATTCTTTCACAGCCTAGCAGTTCATGGTCACCATTAATAAACTAAGGAAATTAAAGTCTGCCTCTCATTTACCTGCGTCAATGATCTGAAAGTAGTATCAAGTAGCCATTGTAAAACAAGACATGTCTAAAAAGTCTGGAGGTGATTTTGTGCAATGTGTCTTCCCCACAAAACCCTTTAGATCTCCCCTTATTTCTCCAACCAATATGCCTAAAACCAACCTAAATATACTTCCCCAAACCCAACCATTAGTCACCCAGGTTTGAAAGCTTAGTTGTCTTTGACTTCCTCTCTGAGTCAGGTGGTATGTCTGGCTAGTGAAGCACTGTCTTCTGCCTGCTACCCTGTCATCAAGTCTGTTGGCGTTTTTTCTTTAAAATAAATATATCTTGTTCACTTTCCACCACTACCACACAAATTCAGGTTACTTCACATCTCACTTATCTCTGGTCATGCCTATTTCTTCCTTTGTTCACTCACCAAATATTTGGATCCCTACTATGTGCCAGTTTCTGTGCTAGTAGGGAGCAAAATGGAGGCAGTCTCTACCCATAAGGAACTAAGCCCTGTGAAGGAGACAGACATTGCTTAAAGTCACCAAAATGAATATATACAGTCATCTGTATCTGTAGATTCAAACGCCTATGAGTCAAAAGTATTTGGAAAGTAAGCTAGAGGTGCTGGTACCTGCTTGTTATCCCAGCACTCAGGAGGCAGAGACAAGAGGGTCACAAATCTCAGACCAGCCCAGGTAACAAAGTAAGACCTCATCTCAAAACAAATATTTGGAAAAAAAGAAGATGACAAAAACAGTAAAATTTAAAAGTACAGTACAATAACTGTACCTAGCATTATATTGTACTGGGTATGATAAGTCATCTGAGATGAGTTAAAGCATATGAGCAGCATGTGGGTTTGATGCAGATATTAGGCCTTTTTTTAAAATAACGGGCTTGAGCATCAGTGGATTTTGGTATCCATGGGTGTCCTAGAGCCAATCCTCTGAAGACACAGAGGGACACCTAGAATTACAAGCTCCAAAGAAAAAAGAGCATATGCTGTTAAAAATAATAATAAATAACAATGGAGCCTAATTTAGACTGGAGACAGGTAAGGCCTCTAAGAAAGTGTTTTTTCACCATGCCCCAAAGAATGAGGCTCAGAGTAGGAAGAAAAAGGCTTTAGATAGGGACTGGCACATATGATGATCCTAAAATAGGAAGAACTTGGCAAGAAACTGAAACTAATAATTTTAGTTTTTCTGGTTTTTTTTTTTTTAATTTTAGATAAGGACTTGCTGTATTGCCCAGGCTGGCCTGAAACTCAAAATCCTCCTGCCTCTGCCTCCTGAGTGCTGGGATTTACAAGCATGCACCACTAGGCCTGGCCACAATTTTAGATTTTATTCTAAGCGCATTGGTGCAGTGGACTGAATGTGTCACCCCCAATTTTTTTTTTTTGTCTTAAAACCTTATTCAATGTGATGGTATTTGGAGATAAGACTTCCAACTCCAGAACAGATAAGTCAATCTTTGTTGTTTAATTTATGGTATTTTAGTATTTTCTTGTAGAGTTCAAACTAAGACAATTGCAAGTCATTGGGAGTTTCCTTTAAAGTGTCAGCACCCTCATAGAGAATGAAGAGTGAAAACAGTGCAATGTCCTGGGGAAATGTCTCCGGTAGTTCAAGAGAGAAAATATGTTGGTTTAGACTAGGGTACCATCACTGTCACCTCATTAACCTCTAAGGATTAAGGATAAGACAAAGTCCAAATGTTCTGCTACTATTGGCATGTTTAGCAGGGAACAAAAGGCTGGGGGCAAAATATGGCAAAACACAAAACCAACAATGTCTCAGAAGGGCAGAGACCACAGCAACTCTGGAAACCATGACTGCAGGATTTGCAGACTTTCCCTTGAGCCTGCTGTCAGAGAGACAGGCCACAGAGTAATGGCTATGTTGGGGACTCACCCCTGAGTAATGCCCATACCAAAGAAAGGGAATCGAGCATGTAGCCATTGTGGCACTGACTGTGCTACTCATCCTGTTCTGTGGACTCAGCTGAGTGTAGGTTTACTGTACAGGAATGGTAAAAAGAGCAAGTAGCATTTTTATAGCACTTTGGTTAAAGTGAGACCCAACTTGGCTTTATTTTTCCTCTGAACGATTGACTTAGAGAATGGGAGAAAGAGGTCACTGACTACCATAAGCTGCTGACTCTTCTGCGCTACAGTCCTCTCCCCTATCCAATATCTAGGTTACCAAACTGCTTACTTTTTTTGAGGGGTGGGGTACTGGGGTTTGAATTCAGGGCCTATACTTTGCCGGCCCTTTTTTTTGTGATGAGTTTCTTAGAGATGGGGTCTTGCAAACTATTTCCCTGGGCTGGCTTTGAACCACACTCTTCCTGATCTCTGCCTCCTGAGTAGCTAGGATTACAGGTGTGAATCACTAGCACCCAGCCTCAAACTGCTTACTTTTAATGATAGCAACTGCCATGTGGCTTACACTTTGTCCTTGTGAACCTAATATTCTTGGGATGGAAGATGAATGTGAGTTATAAGAATCTGCCTTGCACTAGCCTAGGAGTGTGACAATACCACGTTATGCTAAATACTCCCCTGCCTCCTCTCTCCTGTGACCAGCTCTGGAGGAGGAACCAAAGGCCTCTAGAGAGCTGCACCTTTGGCTTTGACAGCACGGCTGATAACAGAACCAGCAAGTAGAGGTAGTGGTTTAAAATAAACCCTGAATGATAAAAAGGTTTGTTAGCCTCTGGGTGGAGTTTTGGGCCCTCTGAGAGGCTACAGCAGACACTGGGGGATCAGCATGGCACAGATGGCCTGTAAACTTGAGGCATCCCCTGGGGAAGTCTGTCCTTTTCTCTCAGGAATTTCTCACCTACTTCTCTTTCCCTTCCCTTTCCTGTAGTTCCCAGCTGGTTTTTTTTTTTTTTAATTTTTATTTTATTCATATGTGCATACAGTGCTTGGGTCATTTCTCCCCCCTGCCCCCCACCTCCTCCTTTACCCCCGCTCCGCGCCCTCCGTTACTCCCCCTTACCCCTCGCTACCCGGCAGAAACTATTCTGCCCGTATCTCTAATTTTGTTGAAGAGAGAGTATAAGCAATAATAGGAAGGACCAAGGGTTTTTGCTAGTTGAGACAAGGATAGCTATACAGGGAGTTGACTCGCATTGATTTCCTGTACATGTGTGTTACACCTTCTAAGTTAATTCTTCTCGAACTAACCTTTTCTCTAGTTCCTGGTCCCCTTCTCCTATTGGCCTCAGTTGCTTTAAAGTATCTGCTTTAGTTTCTCTGCGTTAAGGGCAACAAATGCTAGTTTTTTAGGTGTCTTACCTATCCTCACCCCTCACTTGTGTGCTCTCGCTTTATCATGTGATCAAAGTCCAATCCCCTTGTTGTGTTTGCCCTTGTCTAGTGTCCGCATATGAGGAAGAACATAGGATTTTTGGACTTTGGGACCAGGCTAACCTCACTCAGAATGATGTTCTCCAGTTCCATCCATTTACCTGCGAATGATAACATTTCGTTCTTCTTCATGGCTGCATAAAATTCCATTGTGTATAAATACCACATTTTCTTAATTCATTCATCAGTGGTGGGGCATCTTGGCTGTTTCCAAAACTTGGCTATTGTGAATAGTGCTTCAATAAACATGGGTGTGCAGGTGCGTCTGGAGTAACCTGTGTCACATTCTTTTGGGTATATCCCCAAGAGTGGTATTGCCCAGCTGGTTTTCTCTCTCTGGCCTACTGCAGGAATGGTGTCAGCCTCCCTGCCAACTTCTGCCCCAAACTCCAACAACACAAGCCCAGAACACTGCTTTGGCACTAGAAGTGGTTATGAGAAAACAAGGAAGTAAAAGACACTTTTTCTTTCCCCTACCCATCACCTCTTGACCATTTTCTTCTTAGAATCTGAAAGAAGACATTCAAACTAGTGATGATGTATTAAGTAGCTAGATTTAAGCAATTTCTAATGTATACATACATCAAAATAGCATGTTGCAACTGTTTTTAAAAAATTCCAACCCGATGCCAACAATGGATCTCTCAACACAAAAGGCTAATGAAGGCTAGCAAGGATCCCTGTGGGGTCATATTCACTGGCCTAAGAGTAATCCATACTTCTCTCACCTACAAGATAAAGTTTGGTTCCTTCCCTGGCACATAAGGGGCCATCAGTATATGGCGACATTGGCTACCTAGCCTCATCTGTTACTCCCTGAACTTTTAGCAGTCCCAAATACACCTTGTTTGTTCCTCCATTTAGGAACTAACCCAGCAGTATCTCAGCTTTCCCTGAGCACATGCTGATCTTTCTGCCCATCTGTGAGCCCTGGGCACTCTGTCCAAACCTGTCAGAACTCTTCTTCATTATTATGTCCCTAGAAGAACAACAAACAAGTAACTAGAATGAGTAAATGAACTGCCAAGTGGCTCTTTGAATGTAAGAAGAGTGCCTGTTCCATGTGGAGGGACGAAACAACCATCCCAGGGCCCTTCATGACAAGGATTGCCTTTGCTGCAGCAGTGGCCCTGACTAACCACTGCTATCGCCTGTCCTCTTTAATCACCTGAGGCTCAGCAGACTTCCCTCTGCAAAAACCCAATGAGACCCCCCCAAAAGACCCAGCACAAGCCCTTCCCAATTATGTCAGAAGAACCCAGGCTGAGGTCTTAGGCAGAAGGGAAGCCCTGGCAGGCGCAGCCCACATCTGCCCTTCCTGGCTGCCTCCCTTTCCTGTGCAGTCACTGGGGTTCTTTAGTCAGGTGGATCGGCTCAGTTCTCTCAGCCACATGGATCTTTGCAGCAACTTCCCTCTTCTGTGTTACTACCAGTTCGAGCATACCACAGGAATAGAACATTCGCCCAAACTTGAGATGAATGTGATGCAGATTGGCCCTGGAAGCTCTAGTCAGATTGCACAATCTATCCTTTAATATGTCCCTGTTGTTTCCTCCCAGATAAGAGCTCCACAGAAGATAAGTTCTATGGATGGGTGGCACCCCCTCA